GCCTCTGACAGGATGTTGGAGCTCTGCTGCCTCCTTCCCAAAGCTGGGTGGGCTTTGGGAAGGTGGTGGGAGGGCTCTTGGACCATGTCAGAGCCTCACACCTACCCTCTGAAGCCAGGCAGAAGCTTCCTGGTTTTGGGAAGGAGGCATAAGACTTTAATACTCTAACTTACCTGGAACATTTAGGGGACTATCCTAGCCTCCCTACACTGACCACATGCCACTGATATGCACCTCACCAAAGTGGGGAAAGTGGTGACATGTGTCCACTCACGTCTTGATGTCTGGTTGCTAACTGCTGATGGCCAACTTCAAGGCCTGCTTGAAAATTGCTTAAATGATTTTTTTTGGCCTGTTGTAGCAACTGTTCTGTGCCAGGGACGTGGGTGGCTCTGTGGTCTGAACCACTGAGCCTCTTGGGCTTGCTGATCGGAAGGCTGGCGGTTCAAATCTACGTGACAGGGTGAGCTCCCATTGCTTTGTTCCAGTTTCTGCTAGCCTAGCAGTTCAAAAGCACACCAGTGCAAGTAGATAAATAGGTACCACTGTGGCAGGAAGGTAAATGGTATTTCTATGTGCTCTGGCTTCCATCACAGTTTTCCGTTGTGCCAGAAACGGTTTAGTCATGCTGGCCACTTGACCCGGAAAGCTGTCTGTGGACAAATGCCGGCTCCCTCGGCCTGAAAGCGAGATGAGCGGCACAACCCCATAGTCGCCTTTGACTGGACTTAACCATCCAGGGGTCCTTTACCTTTTCCTGTGCTAGAAGCTGCATGCTTATTAATTGCTTCTTTTATTTCTTACTGTTGTATTTTATTGTATTACAATCCGCATTCCATACAATTCAAACCTTAACACCATGGGTAAGCAAACTAAGGCCCGGGGGCCGGATCTGGCCCAACTGCCTTCTCAATCCGGCCAGCGGACGGTCTGGGAATCAGCATGTTTTTACATGAGTAGAATGTGTCCTTTTATTTAAAATGCATCTCTGGGTGATTTGTGGGGCATAGGAATTCGCTCATTTCCCCCCCCAAAAATATAGTCCAGCCTCCCGCAAAGTCTGAGGGACAGTGGACTGACCCCCTGCTGAAAATGTTTGCTGACCCCTGCTTAACACAACGCAATGTAAGAGATAAAAAAAAGCAGTAAAAATGCAATTAAAACCAATATGCCTATTTTACATGGACACGGCACAGGCCACCTAAATGAAGCCTATAGGCCACTGGTTGTCCACAAACCACAGTTTGAGAAGCTCTGCTGTAAGGTATGGATAGAGGCAGCATTCCATTTCTACATCTGCATGGGGAAAGCGTGGCACTTCTTGCACTGCCAATCATAACCGCAACCATTTCAATTCAAAACTATGGACAACAGTGGACCGTATCCTCTCTGCTAGGCATGGCAAGCTCTGTCTGACAAGACTGTTGTGTGGTGGAAATGTACGGCAGCATTGCATGAAATGCAGGTGGAGTGATTTGAAGGGAGAAGCGTGCCAAAGTACATCGGCCAGCTTTTGTCATCTCTAGAATTAACCTTGGTTCACTGGTACCAAGCAAGGATGTTCTCCTGCCCTTCATAATTATTTGCATCCAGCTGGAATCTACTTTAAGAGGAATAGCACATTACAGGTCGATATCAGTGTGCAGACCAGACACAGACCAGTTAGCCCAAGAAGGCAGATTACTACTATGTTCCATTTTATTCTTTGTATTTTATCCAACAATACTCAAGTCCTTCCCAGATATTTCCCCCCCTCTACTAAATATAACTTTGTTTCAAACACTTTTGTTGGGCAAATTACATTAGTGTGGATGGCGCAGGTATCCATTAGAGTTTATTTATCGTGATACAGTTTAGATCTCACGCTTATAAATAACTTATGTTATGGGGCTTTTGTTTGTAGAAATGTAACTTACATATTTTATTACGCTTTTCTGTAAACCTCAAAAAGAATGTTGTCAAAGCAGCACTCTTAAACTAAGGTACATAAAATCTGCACCACCATTATTTTTTAATACGGCAAGGAAGCATGCTATTTCTCGATAGTTTGAAAGGTTTGCTGTCACCATAAACACACACCACAATAAAACATTAAAAAGTCGGAGGAATTATTTTATGAAGTGCATAGGCACCACAAACTGCATTCCTCCAAAGCATTCTTATGTAAGAGGAAACAGAATATTTTTCTAAGAGAGCTAGATCTGTCTCTCTCCTTCTCTCCCCACACCTCTCATTTTTTTTTAAAGTAACATAGCCTTCGCTGGGCTACAAAGCAATACACAATTGTTTACTTCTCTATGTAAAAGCTTGGTAGATACTTGGTTTCATCTCGTGGCTATACAATGCTTTAGTGGGACGAATCAAACTGAAAATCCTAATTTGTTAAATTTATAGCTGCAATTTAAACTCCCACGTACTCAATTCAGAGGAAACTACTATTGCCTACTTCTCGGATGCTTTTAGAATATTCCCCATCCCAATTATTTCCCCTCTATTATGTTCATGCCTGGCCCATAGCTATGGAGAAAATAGGGCACAGGAAAGAGAACCACGTAAAGTAGGGCAATTAAGAACACTTGAGGGAGGGGTGTTATTGCACAGATAAAAAACCCATTTAAAGGATTAAATTCTGGACTTAGCTAATTTTGGCAGGGTTCCTTGGAACAACGGATAGATTTAACAACAGCAGCTGGAACCGTAAAAACCTAAGGCCAAGTGCTATGGCACCCATTTCCATATCTAAAAGCGGGCCGGTTCATATGTCCATGTACTCCAATAAGTTTTTCAGCTCTTAACGGTGGTTGAGAAGCTGTTCAAGATATGTGTATCAAGTTTCAGGAGTGATCTTATTTACAGTGGTGCCCCGCAAGACGAATGCCTCGCAAGACGGAAAACCCGCTAGACGAAAGGGTTTTCCGTTTTTGAGTTGCTTCGCAGGACGAATTTCCCTATGGGCTTGCTTCGCAAGACGAAAATGTCTTGCGAGTCTTGAGATTTTTTTTTCGCTCCCCCCCCCTTTTTCTAAGCCGCTAAGCCTTTAATAGCCTTTTAGCAGCTAATCCGCTAAGCCGATAAGCCTTTAATAGCCGCTAAAACGCTAATAGCGCTAATCCGTTAAGCCGCTAATAGGGTTGCTTCGCAAGACGAAAAAACCGCTAGACGAAGACACTCGCGGAACGGATTAATTTCGTCTTGCGAGGCACCACAGTATCTGGAAGTTTTGTATTAAATGTGAATCCAGCACTGGATTTATATGCACCAGGGAGCCTGAAGCCATATACAAGGAAGCAGCACTAAATCCAGAGTGCTCAGCTACAAGGCTTCTCAAATCCAGCTTTCAAGAGAGAAGCTGGTCCAGACCCAACCAAAAAAACCCACGACTGATCTGTGGACAGAGACAGATTGCACCCAAACAGCATTTCCTCCCATGGCATGACAAAGGAAGCCACAGTTAAGGAAAAATTAGTTTCCTTTCAATGTGGAGGTACAGGTTTCAATGTGGAGGTACAGCCTTTCAATGTGGAGGTACAGGTTTTCAAGCTAATGAATTTGGCTTTGCGTGGAGGTCAGGTGTTGTTTACAGGGATGGAGAACGAAAAAAGCATCTTGGACTGGAGCGCCTCGCCTCTTGAAACAAATAATTTGACAGAATGACAGTTCCTTGCTTTTTTCGAGGGCTGAAGTGAGTTACGAGCGACAAGTCTCTGCTCCTGTATCAACAGCAGGAACAAAATGCCAACTTTAAACAAAATGTAATCTGGGCACCCACATGAAACATACCGAGGCAAACCACAGGTTCATCTCTGGAAGGGCTTTTTCCCAGCCTTGCTAAGAGAGTTTGAGCCTAAATGATTGCAGGTTCAAGATTTTGAAAGGTGCACCGTCGCCCGTATCCTATGTGGGATGCTGCCTGAATAAGGAGTCAGAGGACCAGAGCAAAAACCATTCCAGCACCAAGCATACTCATTTCCCCACATTGCTGATACTGAGTACTGTGCAGCTGTGGAGAGGATAAATGGCTGACAACAGTTCCTTGCACAGAACCCTAATCCCGATAAAAGTGGATTCCCTGTGCCCCATGGACCCTTGGTGAGCAGGGCTAACTTCCAGGGTTCTCCTACTTGATCTATGTAGGGCCATTTAAGATGAATATGCCCTTTAGGTGCTGTGACAGGAGCAGTCCGTTTCTTTAAAAATATTAATATTCATTTTAATCCTACGCACAATTACAGGCAATCCTATACACAATTACCTGAAAGTAAGCCCAAATGAAAACAACAGGACTTTCTTCTGTGTAGGGTTGTACTGGTAATTCTTGCGCAAGGAATACTTTAGCCGTCAAAACACAAACTAAAGCTCTGTATTTTGTCCTAGAATGAAACATTCAAAATACGTGAGTGTGAAACGAACATTTATTCATTCTCAATTAAAGAATGGATCATCACCTGTAAGCTTCAAAAAGTACCGCTTTCTTACTTTAATCCAGAATTGTTAATTTGCATTCTGCCAATCTTCTGTTTGTTAACAGTGCACTTAAGACATAAAGCTTTTAAAAAATCTACATATCTACATATAGCCATATTGTTTACAAATTATGCTTTCTGTTACTCAATTTAGATGAAGCTATGAGAGAAATAGATATGACATCGCTGTTTTTTAAAACCCTCTGATATTGGTCTAATCGCGGAACTGAAATTTCCCAGCAATGCAATTTCAAAAAGGAAAAGACACATTTTATTTTGTTCTTTGGTTAGATATTGTTTCTGCACCATTTAATTGTGAAAGGGTAAGAAGTCTGGATACGGAAGTTCAAAATGGTTCTTAATGCCAAGTGTGATTTTTACATTGTTTCCAGTGTTACAAATCCTTACATTTATGCCAGAGATATAAAAAGGCAGAAGTTATTTAAAAAAATATTTTCTATTAAAGTCAAACCCTATCTAACAATGTTGTGGTTCCCCAACCTTCAAAGTCTGTTCATTTATCAAACATCTTCAGCATCAACTCATCATTTCTGAACTGCTCGATTCTGAAGCCCCCTCGCAGCGCAGGGTTTCAGCCATGTCTCTGCGGAAGACGGACATATTCTGTGTGAATCTGGAACCAAGAAGACACCAAACATGTCAAAGGTCCTTTCAGACTAAGCATTTAGATAAGGCTGCTAAGAATTCTGAAAACAAAACCAGTCCTTTGTTAGAACTGAATGGTTATTGTCAGAAATTACCGTATTTTTTGCTCTATAAGACTCACTTTTTCCCTCCTAAAAAGTAAGGGAAAATGTTTGTGCGTCTTATGGAGCGAATGCAGGCTGCGCAGCTATCCCAGAAGCCAGAACAGCAAGAGGGATTGCTGCTTTCACTGCGCAGCGATCCCTCTTGCTGTTCTGGCTTCTGAGATTCAGAATATTTATTTTCTTGTTTTCCTCCTCCAAAACTAGGTGCGTCTTGTGGTCTGGTGTGTCTTATAGAGCAAAAAATACGGTAACTCCCACAGCTGCAAGAAATCCTACAAATAAAAGAAACACCTTAAAAATTTTTTAACAGATGTTGATTATCTTTGGATTATTTTAGTCCTTATTTGAGCTGGAAAGGAAAGCCCCCAAAGCATGTGAAGGTCAGAATTAAGGCATAGCTAAAACCTGAAAAAGTCTGGTTAATCAATGCAGATGAACTTTCCTTCTCTATTTAGTGGTGAGAGTGGAACAATTTATGCATATGAACAGTGATGCCTCTTCCAAACCATTATCAATTCTCTGAAAAGACTATAATTAGCCATGATTATACCTTGGGTTTAGATTTCCACCAACATTGTTTTTAAAATGAGATGTAAACTTTTAAATCCATCCCTCAGATTTGCCCAAGGGTGAGAACCTTTTCTGTGTGGTTAATGATTTTGGTGTATTAGTTGAAGGCCTGTTCTCTGAGCCTTACAGATCCCTGCCTTACAAACAGCTCCAGACTGGTTTGGAATTGCGACAAGCCCAAATATTTAGGGTGAAGACGCAGCCACTCTCTGTTTAGTCTACCCCATAAGAATGCTGCGAAGGTAAAACGGGGGAAAGTAACAAAAATGGATAAAAATAACAATAAAGATCATGTACATCTAAAATATTAGATGCTATTAAACTGTCCACAAGGTAGCAGTTATAATGTAGCACAGTGGAGCAGATCAGCACATACAGTGGTGCCTCGCTAGACGAAATTAATCCATTTCGTCTTGCGGTTTTTTCGTCTTGCGAAGCACGGCTATTAACGGCTTAGCGGCTTTAAGAAAAAGGAAACAAACTCGCAAGAACTCGCAAGACGTTTCGTCTTGCGAAGCAAGCCCATAGGGAAATTCGTCTTGAGGAACGACTCAAAAAACGCAAAACCCTTTCGTCTAGCGAGTTTTTCGTCTTGCGAGGCATTCGTCTTGCGGGGCACCACTGTATTTGGGGCAGATTTCTCTACACTAATTCAAGCCTCAAGCTAACAAATGGACAATTCAAATGGGTCCTACAAGCCTTTATGACAGGAAAGAAAGAAAAATTCTCCAACACTGGAAGGAAAGTTTTCCATCAGCCGTCACACAAAGGGCTTTCCCTATTAGACTGTGCAGCCTATCACAGGCCAGAGCTTCTGAATAAGTATTTGGACATTTGGTCTGCAGATACTGAGCTTTATACCTTTGGGCATAGTAGTTGTGTTCAGAATGACCAAATCTTTGCACCTGAAGCATTGCTGGGAGCTGTAATTGTACCTTGGCATTAGGGTGGGGGGCACATTGCATTCAGTGACTTTTAAATTTGCCCCCAAATGCAAACCCCACTGGGATTAGCTACTGTATGGAGGGCGATTTCTCACTGCTGAAAGTTGGTGCCAATCAGTTGAATTCCTTGCAGGTCCTGCCAGTGCCTGCAAAATAGCTCACCTGAGGTCATGCACACATCCGGTGACTGACAGATGGGAAGCCCCCATCAAACTGTCAAAGCGGCATGCAGGAGGTGAGGAAACAAAGGACCAGGCCCACTGGACCCAATCCCATGTACTTGCTGGGATTATGGAAGTGAGAGCTGTACCATAAAGAAGGCTGATCGCCGAAGAAGGATGCTTTTGAATTATGGTGCTGGAGGAGATTCTTGAGAGTCCCATGGGCTGCAAGAAGAGCAAACCTCTCCATTCTTAAGGAAATCAGCCCTGAGTGCTCACTGGAAGGACAGATCCTGAAGCTGAGGCTCCAATACTTTGGCCACCTCATGAGAAGAGAAGACTCCCTGGAAAAGACCCTGATGTTGGGAAAGATGGAGGGCACAAGGAGAAGGGGACGACAGAGGACGAGATGGTTGGACAGTGTTCTTGAAGCCACCAGCATGAGTTTGACCCAACTGCAGGAGGCAGTGGAAGACATGAGTGCCTGGCGTGCTCTGGTCCATGGGGTCACAAAGAGTCAGACACGACTAAACAACAACAACACCGTGGTGAGAAGCAGACACACAAAAGCCGTAAATCATGCCACTTCTGTGGCAACATCATGGATTTTATCCTTAGTTCTACATTCATGGCTTTCTGAACCCACCAACACTAACAATAAATCTTGTTCCTGTGTAATGGCTCGGCTACATGTTCGCTATTGCTTTGGCACAAGATGACATTTCCATACATATACATGCACACACTGCTGTCTGAGCAACTGTGCATTTATGGTGTGTAACATACTTATCTGGAAAATCCCCTATTTTAAGGTTATTTTATCAGTCACAGATTTTTTTCTCTATCTCAGGATATAGTGAAGCTTACCTGTCTCTGTTCTTTACTAGAAGGCTTTGTTCCACTCCTTCCATTAGGTTGCTAAAGCACTGATGAAGGACCTCTTGTTTGTTGGCAGGCTGACTGTTTATCAAGCTGGCTCTTAATTCACTGAAGTACTGAAAAAACAAAGAAGAAATAGTTATTAAAATGATGGAATGTAGTATACGGCTGAGTTTACAGGATCAAACTTTCTATTTATTCATTTAGTGCTACTATCTCTCTCTCTGTGTATGTGTATATTTCAATAAAATATATATATTAGCTATATGTGTGTGTGTGTGTGTGTGTGTGTGTGTGTGTATATATATATATATATAGTGGTACCTCAGGTTAAGTACTTAATTCGTTCTGGAGGTCCGTACTTAACCTGAAACTGTTCTTAACCTGAAGCACCACTTTAGCTAATGGGGCCTCCCGCTGCCGCCGCGCCGGAGCATGATTTCCGTTCTCATCCTGAAGCAAAGTTCTTAACCTGAGGTATTATTTCTGGGTTAGCGGAGTCTGTAACCTGAAGCGTATGTAACCTGAAGCGTCTGTAACCCGAAGCACCATAATATATGCAATAATGTACTGTGGAGTACTGTTTTTTCCATTATGTAATGTAAAACTGACAGCATACAATGCCAAAGCATAGTAAGATACCAAACCTCTCCATAAAGTGAGGAAGATTTATTAACATACGAAGTGAACAGGAACCAGGTTGCATTCAACTTTTTTTTTCAATCACCTCTTACCACCCTGCTGCGCCGCATTAATCATTCTGTTAATGCTATCTTCCAAATCCTAACAAGCCAACTTTGTAGGGAAAGACCAGATCCAGCTTTCCATTTAGCAGCAATTTCCATCCTTGAAGCAGCCAACAAAAAGGCTACAAAGTTCCTGGTGTACAGAGGATTGAATTTTCAAACTCCAATAATAAGTGAGCTCCGTCTTGGGAATATGAATATCTAGTTCCAGCTACAGTTTGGAATGAGGCACTTGATCATTGCAAGGTGCTTCAGGGCTCTTTAGCCCAGCCTCATATGCTAAGGCATCCTCAAATACTTCTCAGACAAGAGCAAGACACAAGCAAAACCCACATGGGTCCACTGTACCCCAGAGCCAAGTGAAGGCAAGAAGGAACAAGATTATTGTAACACAGAGGCCATTGACCAGAAGAAGCTAGTTGTGTTTACATCCAATGGAAACCAATAGGACAATTAAACATGGCTGGGATAACTTCAGCAGGACTAATTATATCGGGACTGTGAATGTTTGCTGTTACAGATATGGGAACAAAGACCAGGACTAAGCAATGTAATTTAGTCTTCCTATAAGGAATCGGGGCAACCCATAGTTGGTGAAGGAAAAACTTATTTTTCTTATCTTTGCTAACATTTTAAGCACTGAGATTAGTTTAAAAATTTCCCACAAGGGCTCCTTTTCTTACAACTGCTTGGTCCTCACTCTGAATTTTAAGTTCAGTTGGGCCCTTTAAAAAACCAGTAGATCTTTTGAAAGAGGGACAATTGTTGATGTAACCCAAAAGGCCAACCTTCCTAATGGTTTTTGTTGGCATCCGTCTGTTTTGAGACACCAACCCTCATAATAATAATCTGCTATTCGCACTTTTCAAGGGAGGCAACAGAGACGTTATCTTGCCACAAATACCCCTTCTCTTATCTGCTTTAAAGGACTGTGTAATGTGCCACAGTGCAATCTTGAGACCCAAAGTACGAACTAGATCAATTTCACTAAGTGTAGCAAACACCCACACCCACCCACTGCGCAGTACTGGGTGCTCCCCGCTAATGTGCTGGAAAAAACCAATGAAACTCTTCATCAATGAATCTTGAGAGGTTAAACCTTGTTGTAGTGGGTTCTACTGGACTAGGACTAGGTCTGGGAAGTTAAACCTAGAGCAGCTCACTGGCTGACCCTTGTACCATCATTCTCTTTTAGCCAACGAACCTCACAGGGTTGTTGTGATGATAAAGTGAAGGATTGGACCACGTACACTTCACTGAACACCTCGGAGAAAGAGAGGTAAAAATAAATTACACTGATGATAAGCATCATGCAGTGGCAGGCTTGGAAACACTGATAGAACCAGCCTGCGCATGTTTACTCAGATGTGTTCAATGGGGCCTACTCTCAAGACAGAATTGCTACGCCAGATTGCAACCAAATTGGTGTTGGAACCGTGAACTGAAACAAACCACTGCTCATCGCTATATTGCTGGCTTCTCAGAAACCGGAGCAGCAAATGTTACGGATACTCGAAGCGCACAGAATATTTGCTGTTTTGTATCCTTTATATAAAAATATATCCCAATAAACCTATTAAAAAAACCCACCCACCCCACTACCTGCCTCCTTAATGCAGACGAGTCCTTAATACAGAAGACCTACTGATAAATAATGACACGCATATATACATTCCACGGCTAACCAAGCTCCACGATCATTAGAATGCAATATTGTTCCAGAAGAAAGAAAATTGTGCTAGCCCCATATTTCTTACTATTCATGATTGCATGGCTATATCTCCTTGTGAAATATTTAATTCCTTCTTACACTAAAGCTGCTAAAATCAAAACCACATAATTAATATAGAGTCAGGCTAATATTTAATACTATAAATCAGAGGCATTGGCTAAACAAAAATGTTGCCAAGAACAAGATTGGGAATGCATAAGACTACTTATTTCCGCCTTTTATAATGATGCACTGACTCAGGGCAGATAGAAAATGATTAGTTTTCCTCCCAAAGTAGGAAATATTGCTTCCATCTGTAAAGGATAATATTGTGATGTCATAAACTTTTTCTAAACACTGAATTTGCCCTTATTCCCTCTCAATCATTTTAAAAGAACTGCTCCTCGTATGGAGGTTGGATTTAAATCACAATAATACACCAAGAAGATGAATGACAGTGCTATTGGATATGGTTAAAATTGGATCCTTCAGCACAGGTGAATGATGAGACGGCGCTTCTATACTTGATATATTTTCTTCTTCTATTAGTTTCCTACCAGGGCTGGGATTTCGGTTTGAATTTTAATGTATGCGGCTGCTGCTAATCTTAGTGTCTTATTTTTTCCCAGCACCATCTTATTGTATAGACAATTCATTCTCCAAAGCAGTAATGCACTGCCACTTGTGACTGCCCAGGAGATAAATGAATTTGGAATAAAGTCAGAACGCGCACAGAAGTATGGAGAACGTTACAGGTCAATATCTCCAGGAACAATCCCTCAGTATCTGCAGCAAGCCTGTATATGTTCAGACGGGTTTGCATGGCTATACAGAAATGGTTTCCTTTTCAGCTGGGTACCTGACCTTAGCCTGAAGTCCACAGACCCAAATTTGCATGCAAAAACCCTACAGGGGGTGACTTGTCTGAAAAATGACTCCTCTGTCCACCACAAAGCCTGGCGGTGAATATCAATGATGGGAAACCCCAGGATTCTAGTTGTTTACTGACAACGGTCAGTTCTTGGAGAGGCACTGGGTGCAATCACAGATTTTGGGCTGTGCTTGCACACCAACATCATGAAATACTCTTGGAAACTTTTGGGAAGGAGGAGGGCTCCATTCGCCTCCAAATTCTCCTCTGCTGCTTCAACAGACGCATCAGTGGAGGAGCAGACACTGCATGTGGTAAGTGTCAGGAGAACCCTCTCCTTCAACAGTGATAGAAGGAGGGCAGAGTGCAGGGATGGGGAACCTGGGGCTCCATTGTTGGACTCCAACTCCAACTCCCATAGCCCCAGCCAGCATGGTCAATGGTCAGGGATGATGCGAGTTCCCTCCTTCCCACTGGTCTAGAAACACAAGTCAATTGGTTGTGAGCGAAAGGTTTGAATTCCGGCGACGGGGTGAGCTCCTGCTGCTCTGTCCCAGCTCCTGCCAACCTAGCAGTTCAAAAGCACACCAGTGCAAGTAGATAAATAGGTACCGCTGTGGCAGGAAGGTAAACGGCATTTACCTTCTGTCATGGTGTCCCACTGCGCCAGAAGCGGTTTAGTCATGCTGGCCACTTGACCCGGAAAGCTGTCTGTGGACAAACGCCGGCTCCCTCAGCCTGAAAGTGAAATGAGCGCCGCAACCCCATAGTCACCTTTGACTGGACTTAACCGTCCAGGGGTCCTTTACCTCTACCTCACACACTGAAAGAATCTGCAGAGGGGGTTGTGGGGCATCATTATCTAGTCTCAATCCTCCATACTCCTGTATGCCACCATGCATTTAAGGGAGAATGTCCTAAATTAGGCTGCTGAGGTTGACCAGGGCTAGAGACATGAGCTACATAATGGTTTGGGAATGTAGAGGAGATTCATTCTTGTTATGCAAAGAATATAGGGTTTCTTTTTGCAACATGAAGTGTCTCCAAACACCTCTGCCTCATCCAAGATACTTATTTCTTCCCTCTCCTCATTCTATTACAATCAGCAATGGACTGTGAATAGCAGCTTGTCAATACTAACACTGACTTGTCTCATTTTTAATCTGAATGAATGCCCTAGTTCTGGAATACTTACTTTCTCATTGAGAAGTATAAGGCCCAAGAGGGGTCTCGAGACTGACCACTGGTTTCTGCAGTCCTCAAAAATTATGGTGTTCATGAGAATTGACATCATCTGAAAAGAAAGAAAATGACCAAAAGTGTACCGGTAATTGGTGAATATACCACCATGCATGACTAATCCCAGCTCCAAAATAAATGAACAGAATAAATAGAATTTCAAGTATTGCAGAAGTTACTTTTGACATGGCATGGGTATTTTAACCAGACAAGCTATTTTTTAAATACAAATTAACTTATGCAATATACTAATTATTTCCTTTGATTCCCAAATAGCAACCTTATCCGTAGCTTATTATAAAAACAGCAGAAGGAGGAAGAGGAGAGAAAACAGAAGAAAAAAAATTAAGGGTAGACTTGTGTCCACCTGTTTTGAATGCAGACCTTAATGCAAACTTGTCAAACCCCTCGCTTGATGGAGATAATCTAGAGCCTCTGGACAGCTACTGATTGAAGACCTCCAATGAGGGAGAGAGCATCACCCCTTTAGGTTAGAGTTTCCCAAACTTGGATCTCCAGTTTTTTTGGGGACTACAACTCCTATCATCCCTAGCTAGCAAGACCAGTGCTCAGGGATGATGGGAATTGTAGTCCAAAAACCTCTAGGTAATTGGTTTCACTGTCAAACTGATCTTCTTATCAAGAAATGTCTCCCGATGTTCAGCTGAAACCCATCCTGCTGTAATTAAAGATAATTAGATCTAGTTCTGCCCTCTGGGGCAGCACAGGGTCTTATTTATTTATTAAAAATTTCAATTCCACCAGTAAGGTAAGGATTGAAATATAACAATGGATATTATAAAGGAGAAGGAACGCAAAGAGAAATTTACATAGTGACAGAACGCTAAATTAAGGGAAGAATTTCATGGGGGACATTTCCCATGAAAATACAGGATATTAATGAAATTCAAGCGTGCCATTATGGAGGATGCAAAGCCACAGAGCCGTATTTCCAAAAGCAGATTTCTGTAGTGAGATGGAAGGAATTTATGCTGGCCTTCAGATAATTGAGATGTTGCAGAGAGCTTCCTGGTCTCTTCTGAGAATGAACAATTTTTGTTTGGGGACACACTATCGTGAGCTTTATAGATAGTGAAAAAATCAAAGTAAGCAAGACATTTCATAGTTTATAGCGTCCAGAACACAAACATCAGGTAGCGCCCAAGTAGTTTTGGAGTTCAACGTTTGTAAAATCTGGTGAGGAAAAAGTAGTCCATTGCTGTAACAAAATAACTAAAAAAATCCTCACCCCAGCATCAAACACAAGGAAAATCCTTCGATTATTTTTTCAAAACCAACGAGTAGCAGTGAGGGGAGTCCCCCGAGACCTGACATACACTGCAAGCCAGATTGTAATAACTGCCCAAGAAAAAGTCAAACAACTTGTTTCACTAAATGAAAGAGATTATCCAGGCCCTACAAATTACTCAGAACAAGGACATTGTCAAAGCTTCATCACTAGTAGTGCAATGGGGAGTACAACTTTGGCCTCCTTTCATTGCTGTCAGCACACATAGATGACTAACTATTACTCAGGCATACGGGTTAAAAAGATGATTCAAAATGAGCTGGAAATCTAATCTATCTATTCACGCACACGTCCTCCTAAACTAGGCCTTTCTCAGCTTTGGGTTGGACTAAAACTCCCATCATCCCTAATTAGCACGGCCAGTGGTCAGGGATGATGGGAGTTGTAGTCCAACAACATCTGAGGAGTCAAGGTTGAGAAAGGCTGTCCTAAGAAAAAGAAGGTACCTTTGACCACATGTGGTGGACGTGTCCTAAGGTGAAAGACTTCTGGGAAAAGATATATAATGAACTGGAAAAAATGTTGAAATATACATTTATTAAGAAACCAGAAGCCTTTCTGCTTGGAATAATAGGAATGGAATTGCCCCAAAAAGATGTTAGATTGTTTTTGTATGCCACAACTGCAGCGAGAATTTTACTAGAATTTTACTAGCCAAAAATTGGAAATCAGATGAAATACCAACAATGGAAGATTGGCAGATGAAGATGTTGGACTTTTTGGAGCTGGCTGAATCCACGATCAGAAAGAGGAGGAACATCAAGAAGATTGGAAGAAATTTAAGGAATATTTAGCTAATTATTATAATATAACATAAGTGGAAATACTTGCAAGTACCAAATTGGCCTAGGATTTTTGTTATTTTGTGTGTGTTATATTTGTTATAAATTTGGAAAACTAATAAAATTTGTTATAAATTTGGAAAACTAATTTAAAAATTTGGAAAAAAAGAGAGAAAGGCTGTCCTAAACACCACCACCACCACAATGCTGTTCCATGGGAAACTAAAAGAATCTGCACATGATATCAAAATTACTGGACGTCGGAAGCTGGCTGACTGAAGTAGAGCGTCTGCTTGCAGGCCCAAGGGCCCATAACAGTTTCACTTAAAAAAATCTCTGACAGCAGATGTCAGAAAAGAACCCTGGTCTCCTTGATGGTAGTTAGAGAAGACAATGCTGGGTTTAATGATTTGGTTTAGGTCCCACAACTGCTTTCTGAGCAGAACATCCAGTGTCTGCAGCATTAGATGAAGAAGAAGAGTTTGGATTTGATATCCCGCTTTATCATTACCCGAAGGAGTCTGAAAGCGGCTAACATTCTTCTTACCCTTCCTCCCCCACAACAAACACTCTCTGAGGGGAGTGGGGCTGAGAGACTTTGGAGAAGTGTGACTGGCCCAAGGTCACCCAGCAGCTGCATGTGGAGGAGCGGAGACGCGAACCCGGTTCCCCAGATTACAAGTCTACCGCTCTTAACCACTACACCACACTGGCTCCAACTCTTGCCAAATAACTTGCAAACTTGCCAAATAACTTGCAAATACAAAATGGTTCTGCATGAATACCTGGTACAACACGCACACAGACATCTAGTTTTGCCTGTGCTTTCCATCTCTACAATGGTCTGATGCAACAAGAGCATGGGTTGCACAGAAACTGCAATATACCTAGGAGAGGCGGAGAGTATAATGTACAAGATTTGTTTTGGGGAATTAAACCATATTGCTCTTTGTTAGAAGCTGAACGCAATGTTGCTGGCTGGTGGTCTTGGTGGCACAGATTCTGTGTGTCACTAAGTAGGCAAGATCTCATTTAAACAGCAACTATTTAAAGCAAGGCGCATTTGGTGCGAGTTGGACCTAAGCCAGGTGGTTACTGAACTGGATGGAAAGCTGCACCCACAGACTTCCGGGTTAGCGCCATCGCCGAATGGCGGACTCCCTCCGAGCTCCGGAGGGAGTCTGCTCGGCAGGGGCTGGGTCCTACCGCGCCGGCGACGCGGGGACCCTTAAAAACCACGGGCACGGAGTCCGTGGACATGGGTGACTCGGCTTGCACCATTAGCGCCCTCCCGACTCGTGAAGGAGCCTTTTTAAAGGCTTCGGATCGGAGTGCCGGGGAGTGGCGTGGTGCTTGAGCCCACTGCTCTCCCCCCCGAGCGCAGCCGCATGCCATTCGACGGAGAGCGCTGACTTCTTCTATTGAAAATTTGGACTATTAACACCAACCCGTGAGTAATTGGGAAACCGGGTTCAAAATTTTGGATTTGGCACGAGCGGGGCGATTTAAAAGGAAGTCAATCCCCCTATTGTAAGCATTCCAAAACAAGGACTGGGTAACCAAGGTCCAAAGGGAAGTATGTCTCTGATAAAAATCATTAATTTCACGATGGGAAATTATAAGAAATGTGCTGGAGGAGAAGAGTGGAGGGTGAGAAGAAAAATGCAACCCCCCCTCTGGGAACCGGGGCGATTCGTGGAGCCTGGTGAAGAGAGACGGAGACTTTGACAGCTGTCAAAGTGGCTGTCAAAGCTGGAGAATATAAAGAGGACTTTATGAGGACCTTGCTGGTAAATTTTGCTACAATTTGCTATAATATGGATATAAACTGTTGGAAAATAAGCAACAATTTGACTTTTGGATTAGAGGATACAAAGTTATTACAATCCCCCTAGAGGGGTTTCAGGATACTACAAGAACGGTCGTAAGTGGAAAAATACCCTGGGATTCGCACAGGATTTGTTATCTTCTGGGAAAGCTGCAAAACTGAAAGAGTATTTTGTCTACAGAGGAAGACAATGGAATTTTTATTGAAGAAAGAAAGGGACTGGACGTAAGTTTTGTTCCTGAATAACAAACCTCTGCAGAGACACTAGATTTCTGAATTAGAAAGTTTTAGCAGCTGAACAGGACAAGAAACCTGAGAAAGTGAGGAATAAGAAGAATAAAGGACTGATTACGACACGGAAAGAACAACGGGAGGAGTGGTAAAGATCAAGGAAATTAAAGGCCTTTGTTAGATTGGACATTTGAAGTCAAATATTATTTAAATTAATAAACTAAAGAAAACCGGCAAGATGGAATCGGGAGAAATCTGGTCATGAAATGAGACTTCCAAGCTGATAATGTATATACTGATGGCCATGGGGAATTCAAACCGGGGAAGGGGGAGATTTGAAATCCAAAGGCTGTGTAACCATTTTTGAACTTTTCTATATCTCTTATTTTCTATTTCTTTACATAACTTACGCATGTTATTTTACTTTGATCGGACGTGTTTAAAAAAGGGAATTTGTGGAAGGAACTGGGGTGGATCTTGGGGAAAATCTTTTTCTTTTTCTGTTAATGATGTGGGACGGTGGTAAGATTTGTACAATTCAATTTGGATAGTGGGTAATACAAATTAAGCTTTAAATTTGGGAGTGAGAGCTTGTAGAACCAAATTAAGGAAGGGGAATACAATTGGGGGGGGGGAGTTCCAGAAAGTAGGGAATGAAAGTAAGGTTTTTAAATATCCTCTTTCCTTTGTCTTTTTTCTTTGTACTTTTATATTTTTGGAAACTTTAATAAATATGATTTAAAAAAAAAAAAAAAAAAGGAAAGCTGCACCCAAAGCAGAGAGAAGGTGTTACTCCGGTGTGGTCTGCTGATGTTGGTGATGAAGTGACTGAAATGCTCATGAAAAATACAGATGTTACAATCTTAGAAAGAATAGCAATCAATGGAGAGGAGATGAATACAGTTTAAAACAACCCTGAAACCAAGTGGGACACTATATTGTAGAAACAACACTCAATAAAGTCAAATGTAAAAAAACACACACCATTTTTGTGCTTTTAGCAAGGAGGGTTATTTTTAACATTTACATTTTGATTATAATCTGCCACCTGGCTTTACACTGGGCCACAAGGTGAAGTTCAATAGGACAAGGGAAAGGAAATAAAGCCTGTTTTAGTTTGCTTTCCGAAGTATTGTATGTAGGATGTGGGAGGTTAGGCCTCAGAAGGAGAGGAAACTGTGTGCGTCATATCTAGTTTTGAACACAATATTTTAAAAAGGATACCCACACATTCAAAGGAATGCAACAATGATAAAGGGCTTTTGAACAACTCACAAGTGGGAAAGCTTGAAAGAAAAAGAACATTTGAATTTATTGCCTGTTCTCATTACACATGCATGATTCAGAGATAACGCTTGCTCTCTGGACTGACAGTGGTTCCAGAAAAAAGTCACTTCCTCCAACATTTCTAGTAAAATAAACTTACACCTGAGCAATATGATACAATGAAAGAAAAAGCTAAAAGTCATTAGCAGAAAACATAAGATATGCAAATAAAACATAGCAATTCCCTTCATACTGCAACCAAACAAACAGAAATCAAATGGGGCTTCTATTGCAGTATATTAATCTTATATTTTATATTACAATTAAATTACAATTATTTCAGTTTAACATTATCAAATTGCTGTTTTTAAATCAAAGTCTTCATAGCACTGATATAAATATCTCCCCTGGATGGTTTCATAACTCAATTCAATGCAGGGGTATGCAATCTCCTAAATGCCACGTCTTTTTACAACTGCGCAGAAGTTCCGTACATCAGTTTAACAGCAGCAGAATAAATTTAGAACAAAAATTATCACCTAGTCCAGAGCTCTGTGTGCATAATGCTAGCTGAAAGAGGAATTGTAAATAGGTGTTGTACTATGTGCGGCTCCCATGTGTCCCCATGTGCATATCAGAACCCAAAGCTCAGTGAGCCAACACATAGTTTTGCAGTAGGAGAAGAAGAGAGGGAAGGCATGGTCTGGCTAGAATTGGGGAGAGTCAAAGGGGCAGGGCTTGTGTATTTCCTAAAGGGCTCTCCTATAGTAAAAGCTATGGTTTTCCCAGTAGTGATGTATGGAAGTGAGAGCTGGACCATCAAGAAGGCTGATCGCCAAAGAATTGGTGCTTTTGAATTCTGGTGCTGGAGGAGACTCTTGAGAGTCCCATGGACTGCAAGAAGATCAAACCTATCTATTCTTAAGGAAATCAGCCCTGAGTGCTCACTGGAAGGACAGATCCTGAAGCTGAGGCTCCAATACTTTGGCCACCTCATGAGAAGAGAAGACTCCCTGGGAAAGACCCTGATGTTGGGAAAGATGGAGGGCACAAGGAGAAGGGGACGACAGAGGATGAGATGGATGGGCAGTGTTCTCGAAGCTACCAGTGAGTTTGACCAAACTGCGGGAGGCAGTGGAAGACAGGAGTGCCTGGCATGCTCTGGTCAATGGGGTTACGAAGAGTTGGACACGACTAAACGACTAAACAACAACAACAACCTCCACCCTAATTTGAGTACTGCATAACTGTTTCAGTATTCTCACATAAACAACATAAACACAGGGAATAAAGTTCCTATGGGAAATGTCAAAATAAGGTGCAGAAGCAGAAACAAGTACTGTTCAGTGGTACCTCAGGTTAAGTACTTATTTCGTTCCGGAGGTCCATTCTTAACCTGAAACTGTTCTTAATCTGAAGCACCACTTATCTAATGGGGCCTCCTGCTCCCGCCGCGTCGTTGGAGCACGATTTCTGTTCTCATCCTGAAGCAAAGTTCTTAACCTGAATCCCATTAGCTAAAGTGGTGCTTCAGGTTAAGAACAGTTTCAGGTTAAGTACGGACCTCCGGAACGAATTAAGTACTTAACCCGAGGTACCACTGTATGAGGAAAAGCAGGAAACAGTGCAATGTGCTCTGATGTGCACAATTCATGTAATAAACAGTGACAAATTCTCACGATGAATGCGGCCTTCTAAAACTCTCCGCCCTCCAACCAAGGCTGTAAAAGAAGATCTAGCAATCTGAGTAAAGTCAGGAAAAATCACAAAACATGCAAATGTTTTGCATACAGAAGGTCCAAGTGCAAAACCCTGGCTGCTCCAGGTTTTGTTTTTTTAAAGAAGGATTTCAGATAGCACGGTTGCGAAAGATTCATCTTGCCCTAGGCTTTGGAAAGCTGGTGCCTGTCGCAGCAGAAAATAATGGGCTAGAGTAGTGTTTCCAAAGCAGGGAAGATCTGGGGGGAGGGGGATGAGTGTAAAAAAGAAAAGAAAAAGTACAATATAAGTATAAAATTAAGTCATAAAAATTTCAATCCATTTGAAAGTTCAAATAAAATAATTAGGAGAGCCGGAGAGGCATGGGATTTTTATGTTCGCTAAAATGGGACAATGGATAAGAAAGGTTGAAAAATCACTGAGCTAGATGGATTTGATAATGTACATATGGAATCTGTATGTAATTTTAGTTCTTGGAGAATGTTTCTTATGTCTTACGACCTATTTGCTGTCATTGTTGGACCACCTATTCAGTTGTATCTGGACAAAGGGATCACAGATGGAATGGAATTTTAGATTGCAACAAGGCCAATACTCTTTCTATATAATCAATCACTTTTCAAAGTGGTAGGGTAACTTGAAATCCTGTGAATCTTGGGAAACGAAGAACGAAAGCTCTCACCTTCATATCAAGTGTGTGGAAATTAAGTTAAGACAACCCAAAATACATTATGAATGGCACAGTTTAACCACAGGAAGTGACCCTGCTGAAGGGAAAAAACAAATTCAGTTTCACAGGTGTTTCTTTCTTTATTTAGGAAGACATTTTGAATAAGAGCTCAAGCGTTTCTTACACCTGCGGTATCTATTAACATCATGTAATAACAGTTCCACACCAATTAAAAAGCTAGTATCTCATCCTATCTTACGGTTTACTGCTGCTGAAACTTTTGACAACTGGCAAAATGCCTTCCAAACTGCTGACAAGATAATAAAGTTGATGTCTACATTTTATCTGAAAGTAAATACAACAGTAATGGGAAGACAGGAAGCAGCTTGACTGCAAATGTGCCAGTCTAATGCCTCACCCTAAAAACAATGTTGATTCAAAACATCAATTTTAAGCACTTTCAGTTTGATTTGCAGATTTCCAATATGTTGACATCAATGCTATTAAAAGCAAGTACCGGTGAAGGGCAATGTATCTGACATGCAGCCCAGCTGGATGCGACAACAGCAGCCATGTTTGTGGCTCATGTGTCTGCCTGGTTCACTCGTAAAACAGGGAGATGGAAGGTCCAGTTGTGATTCGAGTACCCGTCCCCCGCTTTGGGTTAATAAAGACACGTGGACACAGTATATTAGGTTAATGGGGTAGAAACGGCCACAACTTTATTGATTACAGCATGTGAAAAGGTATTGGCTTAGGCATTGGAATAGAGGAAATTTGACTCCACCCACTCAGAGAGGGGTGAGTCTGACGAGGGGTTAACCACCAGTAGGAGGAGCCTGTTGATGCCAATACAACTATAAGCTCTCCCCTGATGCCACCGGGGGTCGTGTCATGGCCCCCCGCCACACAGGGCATCGGACAGGATCCACGACCGCCGGATTCCTTTAACGGAATACCCATAAGTGAAGGGGTAGGCGATGGCCACACCTTGCCCTTCCATACACCAACAACACATTCCAATGCCTAACCGCCGCGGCCGCATTTGAGCGGCTAAACCACGCCCCCGCAGTGTCTCCCGATTGGGTGCCCAGCTGGGAGGCGTGGCGCGCCAGCAGGGGGCAGACGCGAGGATCTGGTCCCGCTCACAACCCCTCCCCTCCGGAAGGAGGAGAGGCTTTGTTAACATCAAAATGGCTGCACCGTTAGCACAACAGTTTGGGTTGCTAGAGATTTATTTTCCTGCAGGTTAAATAGGTGGTGTGTGGCTGACATGCTGCACTTACAAGCAGAAACATAATCAGAAGAGGCATCTCTTGTTCTTGTCTACATTGAATTCCTTGTCAGCTCTCTATTGTGTGCTGTGTCATTTCCAGGCTGCTTTATATTTGGGTGTGTGATGCACCCAACAGATGTTTTCAAACTCAAGCACCCTTGTATCTTCCCATCTGGGCTTTTGGATGTGCAGATTTTTCTTCCTCAAGGCTTGAATAACTTATCGCTCACAAAAAAAGAATTTGTGAGTTGCTCATTTGGATGAAGCTTGGCATTCTTCAACTAGCAAACTCATTAGAGTTAAGAGTCCCTTCCAGTTAGAGTATATCATATTGCAGTATGGACCGTTTGGAAATTACGATGAGCTCTTTAAGCACTTAATCAAACATATTTCTCCTTTTGGCAATGCTAACGCAGGCCCTTCGTAGAACAAACGCTCCACATGTTACCATATTTGCACTAAATTTCCACTATTGGGATTGGATAACAGCTCCTCTTTGAACAATCACTACCACATGATTAATGAGGGGAGAAAATAGCATCCATTACAAGTGCCTCTTGAGAGAAGAAAGGCGCAGACAGCCTGATCCTCTTAATAGCTGTGTCATATGCTTCCTCCACCAATGGCCTTGGCAAGAGTCTACGATTGCAAAGCTAGCTTTTAGCCTACCAGCCCTCCACATCTGGCCCTAAACTGTTGCTGGAACCTTCGGTGTCTGTTTTATACTTAAATCATTGGGACATAAACTCTGCGCCATTTCTTCCCAGTGCTTGATCATTGCAAAATATCTTCCTTTCTATTCTATGGTGATCAAACAGACACTGCTTTGAGAGTCATTCCTCTTCCACAAGATGCTGAAACCAGAAGGTAGTTTTGCAAAGCGGGGTGGGGGAAAGTGACAGAAGAGCATGCTGAAGAATACTTCCTTTTTTTTGGAAAAAGGATGTTTATTTTGCATTGACTCCTAATGGGTATCAACAAAAAGCAACCCTGCTCCTGAAATCATGATAGGCAAAGTACACAAAATCGATATACTGTATACAATCGGTATTGCACAATTGTTTGCCAAAACCTGCATTCCAGCGCAGACCGGGAAGAGATGAAAAGGACACTGGTCATGAACTATCAAGAATAATGGCTTGATGTTTAGAGAAAGGGTTTTGAAAGACACAGCAACGTTTATAAGGGTAAGATAAAGACTAAAGCTCAAAAGAATGTTAGTGCCTTGGGTAAAAAGAAAGGTGCGACTCTTAGCCTAACAGAACTTCTACCTAGATAGCGCAGTTGGTTAGAGTGTGATGCTGATACTTTCAAGGTTGCAGGTTTGATCCCCGTTTGGGACAACTGCATATTCCTGCATTGCATGGGGTTGGAATAGATGATCCTCAGGGTCCCTTCCAACTCTATGGTTCTATGATATAAAGGTAAAGGGACCCCTGACCATTAGGTCCAGTCGTGGCCGGCTCTGGGGTTGCGGCGCTCATCTCGCTTTATTGGCTAAGGGAGCCGGCGTACAGCTTCTGGGTCATGTGGCTGGCATGACTAAGCTGCTTCTGGCAAACCAGAGCAGCGCACGGAAACGCCATTTACCTTTCCGCCGGAGCGGTACCTATTTATCTACTTGCACTTTGACGTGCTTTCGAACTGCTAGGTTGCCAGGAGCAGGGACCGAGCAGCGGGAGCTCACCCCGTCGCGGGGATTTGAACCGCCGACCTTCTGATCGGCAAGTCCTAGGCTCTGTGGTTTAACCCAAAGAGAACCACAAATTATTCTAGAAGATTGGCTTATTTGTGTGTTTGGCAAAGCATTAAAGAGACATGCTGGAACAGCTTGTATACGTATATAAACTTCTTTAATCCTCTTTGTTCTCAAGTGGTTCACAAACTGATCCTAAATTTTATGGAACAATTTGTTACTTGCAACTATTCGCATTTGGAACAAATGATAATTTGAAAGCACATTCTTATAAAATGACGGGTGGGAAATTGAATACTAACAGTAGCTATTCCAAATGATTGGAATTACTGAGTGGCAACAGGTCTTCCCTTACTGCATTATAAAAAGTAATCAAGAGTCTTTTACAATTAATATAATTTCTCACAACCACCACCCATCAAAGCTAGAAGTAGCAGGATACATTCTGGGATTATTAAAAACAACATCCTTGAATATTGCTTCTCCTACTTAATACTGCTTCTGTATCAGTCTCTTTGGATTCCTCTGGTTAACCAATGTTCACTGGAATATTTATTACAGACTGGAATATTGCTCTTTATGCCAAAAAGAAGTTAATTGGTTTTCTTTCGGTAGCATTAATCTGAGTACATCAATAACTAACCAACTAAAGAGCACTATTTGTGCTGCTTAAATGGCAGCACAAATCGCAAAAGCTCTAACCATAATAAACCAGCAGAGACCTCTTCTCTAGTAGAATATTTGAGGTAAGCAAAGAGCCAACTCAATTGCATGTAGAGACACCTATGATCTATGGAACCAAATTTTCACCAAAGATTATCGCTGTTTTCAAAGAAGTCAGCTCAAGATCCACAATTTGGGCAATATGAAGTCGATGCCATGCGAGCTCAGAAGAACCAGGAAATAGAACAAAAGATATGCCCCTAAAACCTGGAAATAAATGAACTTTGATTCTTGACTGAGAACTATATTTTAAACAGATTTGAAGATGGCCTTTTAATTTTTTTTGGGGGGGGGACTATTGTTTTTGTTTATTACTACATTATGTATTTTTGTGGCCTTATATCGTAAACCATCAAATGAAGGGCAGTATGGGAATTTATTTATTTTTAAATACATACCGTACATCTGATGTGAGAGATCCCCAGTGCAGTATGGTGCCTAGAACTGGGTGGCTAACCCGCTACCCCCCCACACCTTATTGTACTTCATCAGACCCAATCAGCATAGGGAAGATGGGAGTTGTAGTTGAGCAACATTTGGAAGGCCAAAAACTAACCATTGCTGGGCCAGAATGTTTAGACAGATTAGGTGGATTTGAGTTCAATCCCCATTCAGTCATAAAGAACACTGAGCGACTTGGCTATGCGTGACCCCCCCGCCCATGTTGCCATCCCATCATTAGAACGGGGTCTACTGGATCATGCCAATGGCCGATCTAGTTCAACACTGTGTTTTCAACAGCAGTCGATAAGAGGCAGCCAGGAATGCGGGCAACGGCTTTCCCCATGGTCGTTCGTTTCCCTGTAACACGCATTCAGAGACATACCAAGAAGCTCTGACTACAACCACTGGGACATTCAAATAGACAGATGTGCAAATGTTTCTGCAACACTTACTATTTCATTTTATCCTAAAATAAAAATGTAAAACATAGGAAGAAGGGCGAGGCCAGCTTTCAATCAAATGGTTACATCCTGCCATTTGGCAACATCCGTTTTATGCGGAAAACATAACCAAAACATTTTGTACGACTTCTGAATCAAAAAGTAACAAAGTCAGACAACTGCAAAGAAGTGGGCAAATTCTGATACAAATATTTTTAAAGATTGTTCCGTGTTTGCTGCTGTTTTAAAGGAGGTTTGCCTAGAAAATTACAATTGTTCAGTAAGCATGAGAGATTTCATTTGTAATTCAAAACACCCCGGTTATTTGTTTTTCCTCAAAATATAAAGGTAAGCCGTGCTTTATAAATATGCAACAAAGTTTCAAATAAGATGCAAACACCAGCATCCTAATGTTTTCATTTAATTACCCCTGAAACGCATTCTATTTAATATTCATTACTCAAAAGCCAATTTAAAAGGGAAAGAGGTGATGGTACTTATTCAGAAAGACATGCTTTCATTCACTGCAATAGTTATCTAATATACGGAAGTTAATAAAGCAGATTAATCTACAAGTCCCTTTAAGCCATCACTGAGTTTAGAACAACTGCCTCTTTGACCTTTAACCCTCCTGCTGTGAACCAGTAGCAGGTGCCAGCTGCGCTAAAACGATGGCTGACGTGTTTGAACGCAAAGCCTTTTCTTACTTTGCCTCTGACCAGCAGCTGACCCTGTAGGAGCAATTGTTTCATCTGTTGGCCTAAAGGGTACATAAACCAGAAACGGATAAACAAAAAGCATATATACACCAGCTGCCTAGCCTTAGGGTACACCTCTACCATCAACACCTCCAGCAATTTTTTCTGAAAGCCAAATTGCAGCCTTTTTGTCTCCATCCATGGACTAGGCGATACTTGTTACTTTACGAAGCTAAACTTCCATGCACACCAAAGTAGCACACTGTATTGTTAAGCGCTTAACAAGCTTTGTGATCAGGGAAGTCATTCTTGCTCGATTTGACTGTTTTGTTTTACAAAGAGATTGCACTCTTAAAGTACAACTGCTTTGAAGAACTATAAAGTAGCAAGCTTCGGATTAAAAGTGGGAAAGTTATGCAAGATGCAAAACGATGGACTAAAGGTTTAGTGGGGTCCCCTCCTTCATTTTATAATTTTACACAGAGAATTGTAAGCACAGCATTCTGTACAGGTGGAATTATACCTGCATTGTGCTTTTATCAAAGCTGCTGACACCGTCACACCATTATGAAATATTGTTTTGCTTATTGAATTACTCTGCCTTAAGATGAGAAGGCAATTATTTTGTTGATAAAAGTTACACGAGCACAAAGGCAGAGTAATTAATAAATGTATTATACGTCTGACAGAATAAAAAGTTAATATATTTTAAGGCACATCCAGTTCCTCCCCCCAAATTCATGAAATTATTTATATTAAACTATCAATCAATGCTGAAATGCCTAAATTTATGTCAATAGTTCAATAAGTGGCTTTGAGATTGAATTTTGGCTCATTCAATAAAGTATCTTTTCCTGTTCCTTAACCACCCACATCTCTACAGCTGTTATATTTCTTTCAATTAAGAAAAAGTTATGATGCTTATTGGATCATATCCTTAAAATATGCTAAAATCCTGAATCCAGATATGAGTGGTTGCCCATTGTTTGGGGCCTGAGGGTACATTTAATTTTGACAGAGTGGGATGGGGGCATCGCCCTCTCCGGTTGCTTTTTTCCTCCCTCCCCTGGGTTACACTCCCCTCCCTTGAGAAAGAGAAAAGGCACACACACATTTGTTTAAACAAATCCTCTTCTTGTGTTACACCCACCCCACCCCACACTTCATAGTAAGGCTATAGTATTGTCCACATAGTATTCTAGTTGCTATAAAAATGACTGAGATGCCACCTGAAAAGGTAGAATCAAAAAGGTAACGTGCTATACAGTGCTGAGAACATTCATCCAAACGTGAACAGGGGTGATCAGACTTTTGCTTTTTTACTTATTGTGAAAAACACTAGCATGAAACATTAAGGCATTTTATTAATGGCGTATTTTACCCCGATCCCCCTGTGAAGCAGACTAATTTTAAATCCTTTTCTAAACTACTAGGCACGCTGCTGCTTCTCCCACTGCTTAATACCAAGAAAAGCAATCAGAATTTTAAATATGAAGAAGGTAGCGCAGCACTGAATATCTACTGCAAGTTACACATGGGCCCCCCATAGGAAGGACAGACTATTCCCTCTAGGGGCTGTGGTTAACTTTGGGGTGAACAACATAACCAGCACTGAAGAACGGAAACTTCTATTGATTTATGAACTGCAGAAAACGTATTAACATAACTTCTATTTACGTTGGAGCAAGTTGTTAAGTTACAGCTTATGTATGCGATTCAAACATTAGTTAATTAAATGCAACACTTTAAAAAAACAGTTGGGGAAGGGTGTTGGCTTTGTTTAATCTTAGCAAGGACAGAATAGCTGCATTTGTAATTTGTAGTAAAAGAAAAAGCAAGCACACAGATATTTAAAGAGGATGCATTTTACTACGTTGAACAAGACTGTATTAAAGCTTAGAAGTGATACTGGTTAGGAATATAAAACAACACCCAATCATATAATAAAAAAAAGAAATTATGCATAATTGGGCTTCTTACATTCCACGTTTCTAGAGCAGTTTCACTTATGTGAGCAAGGGCAACTCCATTTGCATTCTACACAAATTTCTATTTCATTTCTTCAGCAGGCAAGATCAGGCAACTGAGAGAGCTAAAACCTCTTAAAGATCATTGCTCCAGGTCTAAACTATCTGATATACACTCACAGAAGTAGTTTTCATTCTGAGACATAATTAAATAAATGCCTTTCACTGAACTTCTAATACTCTTAATAAGACTATATGTTTTAAATGCCTCTGACTATATCCACAATATTATTATTCCTACCCCTCAAGGCTTTAGCAGAGGTCCTGTTTATTGTATAACCCAATCAAGCCAAGCAGTGAAGCACTTGGATAGTCTGCTCTTTGCTATGTGTTCAGATGTTTTATGAAGTTACGAGGCCTTTATCTCACAGGGCCAACATATATTTGAATCTTAACATATGCATGTGGTTTCAGATGGAGATAAGCAGATGGCATGCTTTACTACATTATACGTACGCTTACAATAATCTGAATAGTTTTACAATGGTCTTTCATCCTCTAATCTTCCCTCTCTCATATCCCTGCTGCCAGCACAGCACATCCTCCTCATCTATTACTTCTTTAATATCCCAGTAGTCAGGAGGACAGCAAAACAGCAGTGCAGTGCTATGGTGGTCAGCTGAAATTGTTCTCATGGTTCTAAAGAATAAGACCACTCTTTCCTCTGGCTCTTTATGCCACGAGAAAAGACATGTAGCCCCCCCTAACTCTAGGCTGCCATTTGCCTTGTGTCTGTGCACCATGTCATGTGATCAATTATGAGGAGCAGAGCTTACTTGGCCCCCCCAAAAGAATATTTTATTCAAGTTGGCACCCCTGGGTGGTACAGTTGATATGGCATAGGAACGGGTCAATGCCAGCTGAATAAAGGAGCAGTTTGGCATTCATTCTATGGAACCAGCAAATAGCATTTCTCGTTAAACAGAACCAGAATGTTGGAAGGGACCTTAAATGTCGTCTCATCCAGGAAAGCCACTGTCGTGCTATAGCTGGTTAAAATGTATTTCCATTTCTTCAGTAACAAGAGAACTTTCTTTTACCTATCTATTTGACGCTTGTGCAGATATGCACCCGTATTTAGGGATGCTCCTTTCGTTATTTTAAAAGAAACACAATATAAACAGTGCTTCCGCCAGGACAGAGGAACAGGGGAAAATATTCTGTTACATTGCATCACTTTAAAGAACTGACAAGCCTCTTTAAGCTCACAGTACAATTAGTCATTAGGGCCTAGTTTTCTAGCACTGTTAAGCAATTTGTAATAACCCCCTTCCTTTTAATAGGGTTAGGCATTACTTACAAGACACAGCTGTCTAGAAAACTGAAACCTCTAGTTGTGAAGCAACAGTCTTGTTCATTAGCCGCCATGATAGTCAAATCAGCTCTAAAGCCAGGGTTTAATGGCCTGCCGATGAATAATCAATGGCTCACTTTTCATCTGAGTGTGAAAATGAGAATAATCTAATTCATTGTCCCTCTGGTAAGATTCAAGTCCTTGGGTTCTGTTTCTATTCAGGGCTGATTTATAACCCAATGGAAACCTGATGTAAACATATAATCAATGAGTCCCATCATTGCTGATAACCGCCCCCAACTGGCTCACTCCCTCATCTCAAAAAGCCATCCCTTTAGGCTATTAGCTCCGTCCAGCTAACTCTTTCTACTATCCCTGCCTGCTGCTTTTACCTTGGCCATTCGTTTAGACCAGCAGAGTCAGAAGTAATTTTATACGCAGCAGAGAGCGGGTGGAATTGATTTTTCACTCAGCACTCAGTTCCCATCTGAATAATTATCAATTTTACTGCCTCATAAAGGGAAGAGTCAAAATTTCAAATCAATTCAAAAGAGCTTCTGAGACTGGAGAAACTGTGCACAAGGAGAAAGGTCAAAGTTGGTAGTGACCTCGGGAGATGATGTCAGGTATTAGAACACTGAATGGTTGACATCAGAAGCACTCAATACGCTATGACTCGTGCTAATGCAAATCATATTTATGCTGACTACTGGAGACCAGTCATTAATATTTAAAAGAGTACCTGAAAGCCTACATTCAGACGAACTATAATGTATTCGACAAACTGCGAAGCTAATAAAGACTGATCACTGCTTATTCATAGGATATAAATTTCAGGATTGCCAAGCGTCATTAACACAAACTACGGCGTTAAGGTCATAAGGAAGGCAAACGTATGAAAATCCTGATTTGAGGTCAGTATGCTATTATTTCTGATCCTACAGTTGTATTTATAGAGCAAGAACTACTGTACACAGTGACAGGTGAGTACTGAATACACCACCAAGTTCTAATCAATTTCTGCTTTGGATTGGCTTCTGCAGGAAGTCGTAGCGAGAGGGAATGATGGCAATGAATCACATGCCGATAATAATGCCAGTCAAATGCATGCCTAAATAATATGCTGTGTACCAGTTCCTTATTTGCCTTTATTTGGAAACAAAGATCACCCAATGTAATCGGAACAATAAATAACAATGATAAATCTTGTAAACTTAAGTAGCAACCTTCATTTCTGTTACCTAACCATCAGTACAATCTCCAGGTCACTAAAGATCTTCCACTGATGTCACTCTGTCCTGATTACAGCCATAAATCCAAGCAGTTACATGGTATTTAGTTAACAATCTGTTCTTAAAATGCCCACCAGTCTGCCATTTGGGATTAAATCATTCACCAAAGACAAAACTGACTATGAAACTGTCAAAATGCATGGTTCCTTGCAACAATAGTGCATCCCATAATAATAGAAACAGAAGCACAACACCTCTCTGTATCGTCTTCAGATCATGAAATTTTTATTACTCGATTTGCCTGGAAAAGACAAATGACAATCAATTGCTTAGTTGAATATCATATGAGCATCTAGTTATTTTTTTATTTAGAACTACTGTATTCCATCTGCTTATCTCTGAGGTGACTCAGATAAAAGATTAAATACTAATACAAAATATAATACTAAGATACTAAGCAAAATCCATCTAATATACAAGGAAAAAGAAAAGTCAGAAGAATGTGTACTTACTAAAAGCTGGTACAATTAATATATATGTTGAAGACTCAAGTACATTAAAAAGCCTTCACCAGACACCTAAAAGACATTTAAGTAGGTACTAGGCAAAAATGTGTAGGGAGAAAGCTCCAAAGTCAAGCTGCCACACTTCAAAAAAAGGGCCCTGCCCCTGTCATTTGTCTTTTCAAGGCAAATCAAACTTCCAAAGGTGGAGGCAACTGGATCAGGGCCTCAGTTGATAATCTAAGCAAACAGGCACACGCATATAAGAGAAGACAGTTGCCCTGAGGCTGTTTAGGGCTTCAGACACTAAAATGCACTTTGAACTGCACCCCAAAACATACTAGAAGCCAGCAAAGTTCTTTTGGTTCCAGCAAAAACATATTCAGCACAGCACTTTCCAATCGGTAACCTGGTCACTGAACCTGTTCAAGTTTCTGAAAACTCTTATACAGGCAGCCTAAAGTATAGCCACATTGCAGATATCTAATGTGAGATGTCAACAAGGCATGGATAAATGTGGCAAGATTTTAGTTATCACGGAGAGGCTGCAGCTAGCACGCCAACTGAAGGCAGAAAGCTTTCCACCCTACAGACTTCATTTGGGTGCCTATAAGCAAGGCTTGACCTAAAAAAACACCACCAAATTCTCTTAAGGGAAACTGCAATTTCATCAAGAACAGGCCAAATATTAACTCACTACCCAACCATACTGTCAGGGAACTGACATCGGAGCTAGAGGTGGAGGGAAGGCTCTCTAATGATGCTGGAGAAGGGCCCAGCAGGGAGAGAGGCAGCTCAGCAGATGGGGAAGCAATTCAGTGCAACACCAGGAATAAGGAGGGGCAGATGGGGAATCGGCGAGAGGGCTCCCAGGACTCTTCACCGGACACCAGCGGGGAGAGCACTGGTCCTCCGCTACCCACGCCCTCCCTGCGCAGAAGACTTCCGCGCAGAGAAAGTAGGAGGAGACTGGGTGTCAAACAACTTTTATGTTGGAAAAGGTTTAAGAAACGCCCACTGACGGATTCTGCTAGCGACTGAGGCAGCCACAAATTGAAGGGCTGTCCAGACAGAAAGGTTTAACAAGGCAACATAGCCAGGAGAGGCGGCAACTTACGCATGAGCAACCCCATACCATTATACATACCATCTATGAACATTCTTCAGTCTTGTCTGTTGAGATTTAGTTTATCAGCATTTATCGAGATACCTACACCTATTCTTGTCCCAGGCATTCACCACTATATTTGGATTGGGAGAAGGAGGGAGAACTCTCCAGATGGTTTCACTAAACAGGATGTAAGGCAAAATGGATTACTAGGGAGCCAAAAGTGCTTTAGTTAGAGGGACAGCATGCCAACAAGTGATCAACACTATATTTCTTTCCGCAAGGCCTGCAAGACAGAGTTGTTCCACCAGGCCTTTGGTCAGGGCCCAGCCTGACTCCCTCCTTTGGCAACCTGCACAGAACTTTGCTTAACGGTTGCCATTAATTTGATTTTAATTAATTTTTATAATGAAATGTTTTAGAATGTTGGATTATTTGATTGTTTGATTATTTGTTTGTTGTTAGCCGCCCTGAGCCTGGCTTTGGCTGGGGAGGGCGGGATATAAATAAAATTTATTATTATTATTATTATTATTATTTCAGAGGTCAACAAGGACTCCCATAGGTGTGTCAGCAACATCACTGTAAACTCCCATAGTACCAGACCATTGGCCATGCTGGCTGGGAATGACAGAACTTGAGATTCTGAAACATCAGGAGGGTATCAAGCTCAGGAAAACTGGTATACAGGATTCCAAATCTGGCCACACATTTGGAAAGGTACCACAAAGAGGTCAACTTATTTACAACCCCAACTTTCCAATACTGAGTTAATATTTTTCACTGCTGTTACACCCCAGGTTGCAATGCTTTACACTGAGCTATCCACAATGGCCCCAAGATTTCTTTCCTGAATACTCAACCACTGAAGACTGCCTTAGTGCATTATAGAAGCTTCTGAACTTCTATAATAAAATCAGTTCACATGTGTGCTGCTTGGGCACATGGGGTTTTTGGCAAAGTGCCTTTAGCTTTCCGGCAGAGATGCACTGACAATGGAAATCCAGTGCAAAAGGAGGTTGTGGTGGAATAGGTCTCTTGTGTGCAGATGACCCCAGCATCCCACCCATCCTGCTCACAACTTCTTTGAACTGTTGCCTTCGGGCAGAAGATATAGGACAATGAAAACACGAACCACACGCCTTCTGAATAGTTTCTATCCAAGAGCTCTGATTGCACTAAATAATGATCTCAGGGCCAGTTGCAAGGAATAGCAAGCAGGGAGTAGGAAGGAATGAGACAGGTTTTTAGGTTATGTTATGCTTTTAATAGGTTATGTTACATTCTGGAGTATGATATGTTTTTATAGATTATGTCTGAATAGGATGAGAGTGTTGGAGATACGTGCAAATGTGTATGTGAACCCGGTCTTCGAGTGGGTGTTTGATTTTCGTTGTTGTGTATACTGTGTATATACGGACAATGACAATAAATTTATCTAATCTAATCTAATCTAATCTAATCTCCCACAGTGGTCCAAGGTACTCACTTATTTGTAAGGTAGTTGATACTGGGTCAATGAGGAAGACAATTGTGATTGTTGACAGTGAGGTCATCAGCGCATGGAGTTAAGAACATGATCTCCCCATGACTACTGTATCACTAGAGGCTTTTTCTAAACTTCCAAAACAAAAACACCAGCAATTTTTAAAAACGTCTCATCTATTAACTTATAAACTGGAATATCCTTGTAAACTTGCTTTAAAAGAAAGAAGAGGAGCTTTGACAGCAGCGTAGATATAATTTGCCCAAGGATGGAAGGCAGACAAAGTACCTACAAGAGAAGAAGGCTGACAAAGATGATGGACTATGCTGAAATGGCGAAAATGACCAGGAAGATTTTGTGGGAATGTTTATGAATGCGTGGGAGGATATATTGTCTAAGATATCCTATCCCAACTTGTCTTTACAAGTTCAACAAAATCAGCAGAGTTAACATTCCCCTTTTTTAAACATACGCACATCAGATAGCTTGCTCAGACTCGTTAGAGTCTCTGTAAATATTTCCTGGTATTTTCCCCGTTTAATCCCTCCTAAAATAAGATGCTACACAGTCTTCTGTAAAGTATAAAACGTTTACTCACAAGTAATGATCTGTTCACACAAAGGTTCCCAGAAGGCAGACTTAAAAGGTTACAACATAGTTTAAATGTGGTGACTATCTCCTTATGGGAGAAAGGACCAAAATGCCAGGGGTGCATTTTAGTAGTGCTGTTGTTAAGATGGCATCAATAAGAGATAAGAGAGACAAGAAGAGACAAGATGGTCGCCAGCCTGTAGGTTCTGGATCATTCCACTTCAGGAGAGGCCACGGCCATCTCAAGTTACACATAGGAAGTTTCGTCTCAGTCCTGGAAAGTTCCGGCTGGAGGACTGAAGAAGAGTTTGGATTTGATATCCCGCTTTATCACTTCCCGAAGGAGTCTCAAAGCGGCTAACATTCTCCTTTCCCTTCCTCCCCCACAACAAACACTCTGTGAGGTGAGTGGGGCTGAGAGACTTCAGAGAAGTGTGACTGGCCCAAGGTCACCCAGCAGCTGCATGTGGAGGAGCGGGGAAGCGAACCCGGTTCCCCAGATTACGAGACTACCGCTCTTAACCACTACACCACACTGTCTGCTCTAGCAATGTTGTGTTTGACTGCACCTGATTCTTACATCCCACAGATTTATTATCAAGAGGATAATAAATTTAATAAAGAATGGGGAAAATTTATGTCACTTCAAAGAACACTGTAAACAATTAAAAACATTGGCAGGATTCTAAAAAAACCCACTTGCAATGTAGCGAGAAATTGAGGCTTAAGAAAATATGGAGAACATTATATGATGCAGTTGGAAAAGAAAAGAATAACTTTGGAAACCATGGAGGAGTGAAGTTCTGGGATTCAGAGAATCCTATTTGTACATGATTATGATTTATTTGTGATGATAATTGTTAAAGGCAAAAACGAATAATTTTTTTTAAAGAAGGAAAGAAGAGGAGAGGAGAACACCTTTGCTCACAACGATAAAAATGGAGGAAAGCTGCACAATGCTACGGAGCTTACCTGCTGTAATACCTCTGAGTTCTGCTGCATGAAGTGCAGTAATCTTTGCCCGTCTTGTGAAGTCTCTCTACATCTCAGAGGTTTCTTGCCTTCTTTTGCTATGTGCTTAAAGAGGTAGGTGACAATGTAGTCTAAACTTGCACAGCAGCTGGAGGAGACAATCGTATCTGCACATGGCAAATGAAATAAAATGTAATTAATTAGAAGATAGTTCTAATAGTAGCATCCTAGATGAGAAAGAGAAATCACAATATTACAGTGAGATGAGGTATCTGGATGAAAATGTTTCACCGCACCGTTGCTCTTCTTCGGTAGGTTTAACATATTCAAAGTAGATTTCAGTGCAACAGGCCCTCTTCTCTCACTCTAAACCGCACAGGGGGACTCCTAAACCCCACTGGTATTCTGCCTAGTTGTAAGCACTCCTGCTGGGTGTTCCAAATTGCAGGATTCCAGCTGCTTCCTTATTGCTATGAAATTATGAAATCTGAAGAGTTTGCACTTGGGGGATAAGAGCAAATGTTTTCATTCTCCTGCTTTAAAATCCTAACTGAAGAGCCAATATCGCAATTTGCCTGTAAATGAACGCACAGGTTGAACATGTAATCCAAGGGTCTATTATTATTATATATTCAGGATATTGTAGGGACGTGGGTGGTGCTGTGGTCTAAACCACTAAGCCTCTTGGGCTTGCCGATCAGAAGGTCGGCGGTTCAAATCTGCGCAACAGTGGTGAGCTCCCATTGCTCTGTCCCAGCTCCTGCCAACCTAGCAGTTCAAAAGCACACCAGTGCAAGTAGATAAATAGGTACCACTGCGGCAGGAAGATAAACAGCGTTTCCGTGCGCTCTAGTTTGTGTCACGGTGTCCCGCTGCTGGCTCCCTCAGCCTGAAAGCGAGATGAGCACCGCATCCCATAGGCATCTTTGACTGGACTTAACCATCCACCGGTCCTTTACCTTTACCTTATTCAGGATATTATTAAGAATTTGGAAAAATGACACAAACTTGCCAGCTAACAAAAATATTTAAAATTGTATTTCGATAGAACTTAGGATGACACTGATACTGGGGTATGGAATGAGAAGTGAGGAAGATAGAAGTAAATGGCTGGCTGGATATTTTTATTGCAATCAAGGATAACGACAAGTGCAATGACCATTGCACAATTTCTACCAGAGGTTTTGGGCTGTGAACTTGATAATGCAATAGCTGATAAGAGAAAGTAGAGCAAAGGATAATGGCACATCCTTATGTGCAGGATTTAAACTGAAGGAAACTTGTCAGAAGACCAAAACCAAACCATATCTGATGGAACATTAATGTGTCCATCTGACTCATGTACACTATTTTTTTCCCTGCTTGAAGGACAGGCGCAGTTTGTCTTCCTCACCTCAGTTCCTTTATTTACACCTCTCTTTTGCAAGGACACCCCGTTCAGTGCCATACTTTTAACAGCAGAATACCTTCGTATGCTCAATATAGTCAACCGATTCCCAAATCCATATATTACTGATGCAATAACTTTGCCTACTCTTTGGAGAATGTTCGTTGTATTTACACTAACTAGAATTATCTGCTCAGCTTGTAAATGTGGATAAAAATATTCCTGTTGCCATTATATCATCATAACCTTACTCCAACACATGCTGCCTCAGTTCAATGAAAACAGAGTCTGTTTGCTTCTATGCATTAGCATATGGCAACAATAGATTGGTTATTTTCTATCTGTGCCCGGTTTATAAATGTAGGCAATCTTATCTAGTTTCTCCTTACTGGATTATTTGGTCTTCTTTTCCCACACCATAGTTTTTTCTAGCATTACTCTGTATTCAAGTGCAGCTTCTGTTTCAGTTCTAACGGCAGTCACGCTTTAAGCTACTGCAGATAATTTGTCTCCCTTTTTGTTCAAAGAAGGAGAAAATGGAACGGAGGCTGGTATAAGAAACAATCACATTCGTAGGAGATTGCCAGCATTTGGGGATTCAACCTGCTCCCAAGTGAGGACAATTGACTCTAAGGGTTGCAAATCTAGGTCACCATGGAATTGGTTTTGATTGCCTAGCTTTTGGATGGGTGCACGAATTAAATTGTTAAAATATTCATTTGGAAGAGAAAGAGAATGTGTATGATAGACTCAATTAAGTGTATCCCCCTAAACTGTGATGAGTGGAAACCTGCCAATATTGCAGTGAGCATTTGAGAACTTCTCTCTAGACGCCAGATTGTTGATCTGTGCCAGTTCTGCTTCATAAACGTTGTTTTCAAGTTTACTTGTATTTGAACATCATTGCAATATATTTTTTCCTAAGCTAAGTTCTCCTGAGGTCTTAGAAAGGATTTTGCAGACAATATAGCCACAATTAGTCTCAAGACTCTCTTAATCTTACCAAGTATGAAACATTCCTGTGAATTTCTGATAATCCCCATTTCTACTGGCTTCAAATGGAGGTGAACTGTTGTATCTCTTTCCCAGAGAGTTTCTTTATTTGTAGAATCTACCCAATCTATCTATTATCCATCTCTCATAATAATGCCCCATCCATTCACCATGTTGCTGAGGTTGTCGTACATGGTTATCTCATTTTATCATCTCACCAGCATGTAAGTACTGAATCTAACACAGATAAATTAGACATCCTTACACATCAAGTCATACAGAATTCACTACATTAAGTGCAGGATCAAAGCTTAATGTTGTGTTTCCAAGGGGGTTGCTCGGGAGCAAGCAGGCAAATATCTCCCGACTTGGCTGTGAAGTCTTGGCTTTGCTGCCAAAATAAACTTTATCTGTCCGGAGCACCACTCTCCTGTGGCTGACTCAATCGCTGGCAGAATCCGTGAGTGGGCGGTTCTTAAACTTTCCCCAGCAAAGCAGCTTCTTGACGCCCAATCTGCGCCTCCCCTCTCTGCGCGAATGCTTTCTGCGCAAAGAGGGCGTGGGCAGCGGAGGACCCCTTCCCTCCCCGCTTCTCCCAGGCAAGGAGTCCTGGGACCGCCTCGCCACTTCCGACTCCTGCACTTCCTCTCCACTGGAGCCGCGTTTACTCTCCTCCGTTGAAGAGGAGCTACTTCCCACAATCCCTGGAGGCTCTCTATAATCCATTTGGCTTTTGCTCTCTCCCTCCTGCACTGATGGCAGTTCCCTGACACTTAAGATCAAGATATTTTAAATTCCAAAACGGGAGAAAATGCAGAACCAAGCAATTCCTTCTCCCAAGGCATGGCAGTCTGAACTCTGTAGTGCAATGGCAGGTATTACGATGACTTGTGATCTCAGGGCTACTTGATATACAGGTGAAACTCAAGAAATTAGACTATCGTGGAAAAGTTCATTTATTTCAGTAATTCAACTTAAAAGGTGAAACTTATATATGAGATGGACTCGTGACATGCAAAGCGAGATATGTCAAGCCTTTATTTGTTATAATTGTGATGATTATGGCGTACAGCTGATGAAAACTAGGCCCCCTATAACAGGGCGGGCAACTTCAGGCCCTCTGGGCTTCTCTGTCTGGTCCTTGGGATTTTTGCTGAAGTGGTACTCAAGGCAGGACCAGTGTAGAGTGGGACTATGCAGTGGTACTGAGTACTTTGGGACAAAACAAACAAGCTTCAATGTGGGTCATGGGGGGATGACTGGCTTTTCACTTCTGACATTGGGATCATTTGAACAGGTTGTGAAAAGTAGAATTTGAAAGATGTATGTAGATGACCAGTGACTACCCTACCCATTTCAGGTGGAGGAAAGCTGATTTCTCATCTACTCCACTGTTTCCCCTTGTAATTCTATTTTTGATATCATCTTTTCCAAGGGCAGTATTGATTGTGACACAGAAGTGGAAGGAGGAAAATTCTCAATTGAGAACCTGACTGTTGCTTTGCAGTGAACTAAAGTCATTATTCAAACCAAAGGTCTGAGAGATATGACCAAGAACATAATTCCAGCCATCAAGATATATGAAGTAATTGTTTGCAAAGTGCAGAATTAATCTACTATGTTGACCACCCAAGGAAAGCAACTGCATGATCCTGGTTCAGATATTTCCCCCCAATCTTTCTCCTATGTTTTGGGTCGACAGGATGGGAAAAGAGCATACCTTCCCTCATGGGCGTAGTGAAGGGGAGGCAGCTGCCCCCTAAATAAATAAAAATCAATACAAATCTGAGGTTCTGTCTCCCCCACCTAACAAAAATCCTGGCCACTCCTATGCCTTCCCTACCCACCCATCTGGCCCACAAGTTCAGCTTCTGAAGCCACTCAATGTCCACATGTAGGCATAACACTTCAATAAGACACGCATAAGAAATATCCAATGTGGATAGGCCGAAATAATGCAGAATAATAGGCCCAAATAATGCAGAAAGCTTCCAGGCATTTCCTGAGATATCTAGTGTGCTGTTCTGGTCTATGTGCACTGGATGTTAGGCATGCATGCCATTTAGAAATGCTACATATTCATACAAACATATAGTAAAACAGGCATGTAGATGGGTGGGGAGGCCCATTCTTTCTCGCTGAAATGTGCAGGAATAAGATCAGGGGGAGGGTACTGTCCAAACTAAGTTTGTTTGTTTGTTATTAAAAAGGCAAAAAGGGATGTAAGATTTCTAAATCTTCTAGGTAGAGTGCAGGTGGGCCTAAAAAAATAAAAATAAAATGTTAGCCCTTTCCTTATTTGAATGGAATAGTGGTTCCCTTACTGAAAAACAAAAACTCGGCTCACAAAGAAACGTGTGTTTTAAAAAGAAGAGGACAAGATTCTTCAAACAATGTTTAGTAAAGAAAAAGATATTGCCTGGCCTAAAATCGGCTATGCAGTACCAAAGGTTTGAGTGAAATCAACTACCAGGTTTTTAGCCCTCCTGATTAGACTGTATAAAGGTAATAACTGAACACAAATTCAGCCCTAGGTATTTAGTAGCTGCTGAATAACGAAGGGGATGAGGGCGGCTTCTGTGAACAGTGTTCTGTGAACAGGCCCATTATGTTTTCACTTCTAAAGGCTTCTGGCCTTGTAGCTGCATGTGGAAGTAATGAACACTTTAAGAAATGTATTTGGAAATGCATATTTCATAAGCGAGTTTTGCAGTACTTTTAAACCAGTGCTTTGACTCTATTTGTTTTAAAATTGAATAACACAAAGTAAATCACTAACATCCATTTAGAAACCAGTAGCTGTTCTAAACATGCTGATACTGTACAAGTAGATATTTTATATTCCTCTGTAAGTGATCTTAGCAGCACAGTGGAGAGGTCTACCCTCTCATCTGCTCACGAGGATGCAATTTAAGTATTAAGAGCTACTTATATTTTCCCATAACTGTATATCAAAGATGCTTGTGGCACTCATTTTTCTTCTTATTGTAAGAGTGTAACAGAGGAGGATGTGATGCAAGACCCCCACGCTGATTTTAATGGACAAGCAGAGTCATTTGTTGAACGCGAATGCAGTCCTTATTGCATTTTACTCAAGGCAGACAGACAAACAGCAGGCAGGCAAGTTAAAAGGAGAGGAGGAGGAGTGACAATTGTTGCTCTGGTAAACAAAGAGAGAGAGGGGATGTGTCTGCAGCAGTGATACCATGAAACATCTGGTAGGCAACTTGGCTAATGAGAAAAGGGAATATGACATCTGTATTCAAGCCAACTTCCTATTACATTAGCACCAAGGTGCTGCTGCTATTTATTGTTACTCGAAAAGGCCCATTTGGCCCTCACATTTTATGAATAAGCATAGATGGAAGAACTATTTTCAACACTTGACAGCATTACTGAACAGACCATAATCTAAGAGCTTTATTTCATTTAAGATGAAGATAGCAGGAAGAGGTACAAGTGCAATGCTTGCTATGTTCCTGGACTAGGTTCTTTTTACACCATACCTAAATGATCTCTTTTAAGGGAGTTTGAAAGTAAACAAATTAATCTATTTAACATCCAATTAAAATGGCAGGACACCAAAAAAATGCCATGCTTTCATTTTAGTTAATGAATAGCAGTATGTTATCAATCACAGAAAAATTAGAAAAGCTTTACATGGCGATTAGGGAGAACATCATACAAGATACATTAAAAGGTTTCAGTCGGATGTGGAAAAGCCAGGCAAACACTTTAGAAAAGGGCTCTTGAAAGTGTTTATCTTTACTGTGAAGTCTATATGAGGGCTTCCATTACACATGATTTACAACCAGGGCATACCAAAGGAATAAATATTATTGCAGAGTATCGAATATACTGTAAAGTGTGGAACTATGATGCACACAGTACTTCCATTCAGGATACTTGTATAAAAAAAAAAGTTTTGAGATGTGGGTTTTCACATCTTTTGCTCTACTGTTTAATCCGCAATATATGCCAAGCACTTCAATGACACAAGGCGGAAAGGGCTAACACTTTAAACAAGCAAACAAATACGTCTTAGCAGATGCTCTTCTGTTCTGCTAAGCACAGGATATAGGTTGCTTACTCTAATGGTCTGATGTTAGCACATCCAAGGCCTAGTTTTGTATTTAACTGTTGGGTGACATTTGCCCACTGCTTGTGCATGTCAAAATCATGGCTGCAGTTTTCAAAAAGAGTGCTTATGAGTTGGTCGGTGTTACATTTGTGAATTTACCAACATGCCCTGTATTTCGTGTGTTTGCATTTGTATAATAATAATAATAATAATAATAATAATAATAATAATTTTTATTTATACCCCGCCCTCCCCAGCCAAGGCCGGGCTCAGCTAACAAGAAATAATAAAAACAAGTTGAATGAATACAACTTAAAAACAAGATTAAAATACAACAATTAAAATATTGAAACATTAAAATGCAGCCTCATCACAGGAGGAGAAAGGAAAAAGGAAAAAGAAAGAGGGGGAGGGAAACAAATTGGCTCCAAGCCAAAGGCCAGACGGAACAACTCTGTCTTACAGGCCCTGCGGAAAGAAATCAGATCCCACAGGGTGCTGGTCTCATGAGATAGAGCGTTCCACCAGGCCGGAGCCAGTGTTGAGAAGGCCCTGGCTCTGGTTGAAGCTAATCTAACTTCCTTAGGGCCCGGGACCACTAGGGTGTTGCTATTTATGGACCTTGAGGCTCTCCTTGGGACATACCAGGAGAGGCGGTCCCGTAGGTACGAGGGTCCTAGGCCGTGAAGGGTGCTTTGAAAAGGAAAATAATGCTTTGAATGTCTGTTGTGCGGTGCTTTGGCCACAGCTCATTGCAGAAAAGCACCATACAATTAAACTCCATCTATCAATCCATCAAACTGAGAGACAGTTGAATTTCCAGTATTCTGACATCCCTACTAACATCCGCCATCCTTACAAACACCCAACTCTACTTTAGGAACAGAAAACATTATCCAGTTTCATGGGAAGTTTAATTATGAAGCAATTTTATGCACTTGGACCAGGAAGCTTGAGTTCAAATTCCAGCCCACCAATGAAGTCAAGGGAACTACTATTGCTTGATTCATTTCCCTCTGCAAAATGAAAATATTGGTGACAGGCTTGTTTGTAAGGTTGAATGAGATAGAGAAACTATGCCTGGTTAGAATGTTCTGTGAGGAGAGCAAATTATGCATTAAAAAAAATTGTTTGGAGCAACACTGAAGAAAGGGACAAAAGTTGAATTTAAATGAGTGTGTATTGACCATGATTCAGCATCAAAAGTTCGTAACGAATGGCAGAAATATGCGTATTTATCTGTCATTAAATTCACTGGGAATTATGTCACTGACGTCCATGAGCTGATGTCTATACCCATGACTGCTTGAGGACCAGAACTGTTAATTTCCCCACAAAATAACCATTTTATATAAAAATAATAATACTGTGCAACATTGGAGTCACAGCAACAAAATTAAATTCTCTGGAAGCTATACCATATTGCTTTTGACTGCTGCACAGTAGTTTTTACACCCTTCCTTAGCTGAGTTACATGGTGTACTTACCCAGTGCAGTAAGTCCTTCAGATATTGAAGTAAATATATACATTAGTACATGAGGCTCTAAACTGGTGATAAAACTCATGTGGTCCTGGGTGAGACATTCCAAGAGTGGATAATAAGACTGGCTTAGTTTTCGATATTGCTAGGGTTGGGGGAAGGGAGAGACCGAGAGAAAGAGAACAGATGACAAGTTACTCCATGTGGATTATTAACATTTATTGCATTAAAATACCTGCAAAGTAACTTCAATGCATTCTGGATTATCTACTGCATTAAATCAATTTTACACTGGAAACAAACCCAGTATAAGATATACCCTGGGCTGTATTTAGTCTGTTCTGTAGACCACCAAACTGATGCCAAAGTAATCTGCATTTTGAAACTTGTATTAATTATGCAAATGCAGCCAGCTTATTCATAGATCAGATCGTTTTGCACACTTCGTTCTGTTAAGTATGGAAAGAGGAAAGGAGCTGCACAAACACTAAAGATTTCCTTGCTAACTAAGGCCAATATTCAAAGTATAGAACACACAATTCTGTCTATATGTTGACTTCCCTACTGGAGAGAGGAGAGATAATTGTGTGCATTTACGCACATGTAGGCATACTCTGTGGGTGGAAAGGGAGTGAAAATATGCACCATTACTTCTGAGCAACAAAGCAACAGCCATAACACCTAAGAATTTACCAGTTGCTACCCTAACTTTTAAAAACATTAGCAAATCTTGCTTCCATTCTGCAAACACAGATATGTTCCTAGCTGTTATTGGGGACAGCGTGAAGGAGCAACAGAACATCCACACAGCCCAAACAACATTCTGTTCCAGGCGTGGCTTTGTTTGTTCCTTGTTGTCATCTAAGAGTATCATGCCCTGGATTTTAATCCTAAAATTGAAAATAGTCTATTTCCAGGCTCTTACTGAAATCAGTGTCCTGGGCTGGATATGCACCAGATTTTAGCCTTCAAACTCTGAAAATAGCTTAATCATTTGGGGGCATGCATTTTGAGGCAGAAATATACAACTCTCCTATTGCTGCTTTTAAAATAATAATAATAATAATAATAATCACAGTACATTAACTGCTCACAAAAAAACTGCTCCTGTGGCATTCTACCATCTATTGGCTCTTCCACATATTCCACTGTTGAAAATGCTGCACTATGTCATGCTTTTATAAATTTTATTTTTCAGTTTTACAGAAATATAAATCCAATATTCCCCACCACCACCACACACACGCTGCTTTTAGACCATGGTCATCTCTGATCACAGTATGTGGGGATTTTACTGGAAGGGGAACTTGACTGGCCCTTCCATCCTATCTGGTACATGTTTAGCATATGCACATCAGTTGTAGCTGCTGAAGACTCAAAACTACACTCAAATATAGGCCTCATTTATTAACTCAAACTTTCTTTGGGAATATTTTGGCAAGTAGTGAAAGTCAGCAGGTCTCCCCACTAATTTTTTTCTTCTTTTTTTGCAGGGAAAAAGGGGTCTTTCATTCCCTGCTTGACTCGACTGCTTATACAATCAATGCATATCTTTAATCTACAATTAAAAATTGCTTCTGCATAAAACTATTTATAGGTTAGCCATTATAATGAGAGAGTCTGGATTTATATGCTTGACTTCATTCTTCCACAACCATGAATGTTTTTCTACAAGGTGAGTTGTATAAACCAATAAAAGGCAAATTAAAATAGCCAAGGCCCAGTTGATCCAGTACTGAAAGAACAAACGACTTGGTTCAATACTACAGTTTTGACAATGGCAGAATTTCTCTTTCCCGTATGCCAAGTAGTGGACTGTTAGTATCGTTGCCATTAAACCCATATGAATAGCTGTCAGAAGACTAATATTTCAGAAAAAATATGCCCCAAATTTCATAAAGGAAGGTTGTTGGTGTGCACTGTTACCGAAAAGGCATTATGGCAGCTAAGCTAAATTAGAACAATGTGGAAAACAATTCTACTGCCATTCAGGAGAGGTATTAGACACAGAAGATAATTTGACCAATATCCTCTTATCCTTATGATGCATTTTAAATATTTTGAAGTGAATACTTATCATTGGAAATACTAATGGTATATTTTGACTCTAAGAATGCAAATAAATGCAGGTAGCTGAGATTAAAAAGAACTGCCTTTGAGTTGTTCTAGATCCCCCTCTCTCTCCATTTTAAGCCTGTGGTGGTGATTTCATATTTTGCATAAAGACTCCCAAGACGAATAATTGCTTACTAGCAAGTCACTGTGGGATACTGAGAGCAGCATTTTGACAAAGGCCTGAAGTACATTGTCAAAGTGGTTGTCCCCATACAACTTGAAGACGCCAAAGCTGACATAATTTCCACACAAGGCAGATTTGAGTGCAGAATAACAGATGGAGATACCCTTGAGTTTCAATGGATAAACTTGATCTTTCGACAGAGTCCCAAGGGACAGGATCTGATTACCTGTTTGCAAGGGGGGGGGGGGGAATAAGGGATAAAGAGAGGAATTGACATAAGTAACTGAAAAAACTGAAAACTGTGTCGCTTAACGTTTTCATTTCGCTGGGTTTTTATTATTACTGAACACCCCATAACATTTATATTCTAGAATAGTAGCATTTTAAAGGAATCGCAACAATATATTTAAACAGAAGGTCCATAATAACACAATAAGGCAGGGGAACCAACCTGACCGTGGTTCTTTATAGTGAGATACCAAGCTCTAGAGCTTGCATATTCTAAAATAAATGGTCATTCTAAAATACAGGGTTGTTTATATACGAACATTACACACAGAGCATAAACAGGTGGTTTACTTTTACCAGGCCATAAGAATGAATTAGTGCTTTTAAAGCTTCAGTATTCTTCCCCCTTATTCTAGTAACGCAATTATTTGGCATGCTTAGTTTGAGACAATGGCTATTTTGAGATCTGCTGAACAATTCACAGGCCTTTGTAAAGGTGCTACCTATGATAAAGAGATAAGACACCTGTCAATGGCCCTTGAGATATTGCAAAAAAAGGGGAGAAATACTGCACATCAAGCTGCTGGGCTGAAGGGAATATAGTGATGAATACTTTTTAGCTCGAGTCTACTGATGTGCTTCTTCATCTCTACATCAACTTCCAAGTCCCCGGAGCAGTGAAAATTGCACTGACTTCACAGCTCCATTGGCCAACACCTACAGTGAGTATGGCTCCTGCTGTACCCTAGAAAAACACATCACGCTGGCTCTGCTGGCGATCTAAACTCCATTTCATGACTTGCCTGACTTGTGGAAATACTAGCATATGAGGCCTGTAAAGGTATTTGACTTGAGATTGGTATCTGTTCAAGGATAGTTGTAAAGAATAGCCTTGAAAGAAGATACTGACCAGTTACTGAGAACAGTTCTAAAATGGGTAACAGGATAATCAAGAGCAAAATGAGCTAAGATCCGAGGAAAAACTCTGGATTAAAACTTTTACATCACAGACTACCTGGGAAGTATCACTTTTAGGGGAAACTATTGTTGCGGGTGGCGCTGTGGGTTAAACCACAGAGCCTAGGGCTTGCTGCTCAGAAGGCTGGCGGTTCAAATCCCTGCGACGGGGTGAGCTCCCGTTGCTCGGTCCCTGCTCCTGCCAACCTAGCAGTTCAAAAGCACAAAGTGCAAGTAGATAAATAGGTAGCACTCCGGCGGGAAGGTAAACGGCGTTTCCGTGCACTGCTCTGGTTCGCCAGAAGCGGCTTAGTCAGGCCACTGGTCCTGTTAGCTAGGGATGATGGGAGTTGTAGTCCCAAAACAGCTGGAGGGCCAAGTTTGGCCATGCATATTCTACACAGTAAGGGGATTCACATGAACACTTGTGAGGGGATCAAGCTGGCTAGCACCCCCACCCCGGTTGACTGGTCCAGAATTCTCCTTCCTGTAGTTGCAGAGGGCTCCTATTCACAGCCCTACACACAGCTACCTCTAACCCCTAATTCTAACTGGACAGAGAGCAATACTGTATTTACTTGAATGTAATGCACACCTTTTTTGGCCAAATTACATCATGAAACTTAGGGTGCGCATTAGATTTGATGGCACATTAGACTTTTGGTTCTAAGGTTTTGAAAACTGAGGTGTGTATTAGATTCGATGGTGCACTAGATTCGTGTAAATATGGTATTCTAATTTTTCACAAAGTATAATGTTGCCGAGTCTCCACCCTCCCCAAAAGATCTCCAATACTTCACAAATTATTTTTAAGCCAACTTTTAAAGGAAGCTAGAGAGTATCTGTGGGGGGATTTTAGGACACACGTGCTCTGAGAATGACAAGAATCTCAAATTGATCAAGGGCACATTGGAAGTGGCAGCTAAGAAGCTGGATAATAAGCAGGCAGCAAACAGAACCATGAGCTGCTTCAATGCACCACTCATTTCCAAACTGTGCATTCCCTGAGAGTCCTGACCACCACACACACTGGGGAAAATATAGGCTTATTTCCAGGATGCTTTTGATGAATGATGCTATCTATCTGGAGTTCTGTTCTATATGCTACACCCCTTCTGATCTAATAACAGAGCTACTAAAAGCTTGTGATGATAAGAGTGCAACATGCAATCATCTTCTTACCTGTTTACTTGCTTGCTGGTGTTTAAATTTCACTTTGATTACATGATTCCAGTGCTATCTTTGATATTGTTCTCATCTTTTTGGAAGACATGGAATGATGGACAGGGGTCAAGCACACCCACCATCCATTGTTTCAGTCTTCCCCAACCATCAACCTCCATATGTTTTGGACTCCAACTCCCACAATCCCTGGCCACTGGCAAAGCTGGTTGGGGCTGATGGAAGTTGTAGTCAAAACATCTGGAGGATACCAGGCCGGGTAAGCTTGTACTATTGGGATAAAGATAAAGGTAAAGGGACCCCTGACCATTAGGTCCAGTTGTGACCGACTCTGGGGTTGTGGCGCTCATCTCACTTTATTGGTCAAGGGAGCCGGCGTACAGCTTCCGGGTCATGTGGCCAGCGTGACTAAGCCGCTTCTGGCGAACCAGAGCAGCGCACGGAAACGCCGTTTACCTTCCCGCCGGAGTGGTACCTATTTATCTACTTGCACTTTGACGTGCTTTCAAACTGCTAGGTTGGCAGGATAATTTCCTATTAATGAGGCAGCTGGCACAAACCTTGTGGTTTACTTGCAGCACCTCTACCACCTTGTTGTTAGGGGAGGGGAAGTAAAGGTGGGACGGAAAGGGCATATTCAACAGGTTGCAGTTTCAAGTTACAGAAGCGGACTTAGCAATAGGTTAGTCAATAGTGACTATTCAGCAGAAAAAGGGCTTAAAAATTAAAAGTGAAGTAAGAAAATCACCACCCCTATTTCAAAATGAAACTAATTTTATTTGACCAGCACGCTTCACACAATTGCAGGATGCACCAGTAGAGTATGGATTCTTAGAGTAACAGGACTGAGGCATTCTTTAAATCAGATTGACATGCTGCAAGTATCACTAAAAGAAGAGAATATTGTGTGATGTTAAACTACACGAGTTTATCAGATGCTAAAACTGCCAATACATATAGCTACAGAATGTAAATACCAGGAGTGCTCAGTATAAAGGAACAAGAGTTGTTAACGGGGCAAAAAATATAGTCCATTATTAAAATGGGCAATCTATTAAAAATAATATTTATTACACAGCAAAGAACAATTTAACTTTTTTTTTAAGAGGCATTATTTTATTATGTTGCTAGGGCGGGATGGATTACAACACTAAGCTTTCCACAATAGATGTTCTAGAAGCAATTTAAAGCTCATTAGAAATAATGTCCCTGGCTACTGGAAAATGTGGTAAATGTAATCCACATCCAAATGTTACCTGGGCTATGAGAACAGGAAATTGTTCTGTGCTACTGTGGCTAACCTTGAATCTGACCCCGAACGGTAACTGCTAGAACAGCTGAAAGCTCCAGCAAAATTAAAAACTTACATCAAAGTATATCATGACAGAATGTAGATAAATAAAAAACAGCATATTGAAAATATTACTTTTTCTGTCAGTCTTTCGTAACGGCGAGGTAGCAAGAGCTGCTAAAAATACAAGGGGCTCCAGTCACAAACACTAGAACAATACATATATTAGGATCTAGAACAATTACGTCTCACTTTCTGATACTTAGCACATCTGAATCTATTATACCTATACACACAGTTTTTGATTAGCCTACGTTATCATGGAACACAACTGAAGGCCAAGTCTGGTGTAGTGCAGGGGTGGTACAATGATGGACCACTTAGTGCTTAACTGGTTACCTGGATTCCACTCAGACATGTGCCCTTTGTCAATAGCGTGATAACAGAGGAGTGCAAATATAGCAGAGAGTGAGGGGAGAGACTCCATCAGGCAAGACCTCTTTCCACCTGCCTTGCCCCACCCTCTAATCTCTGCTTCTCAATTTGTATTGTATTATTTTATGTACTGTGTCTTGCCGTTCTTTTATTGATTATAGTTTAGAAATTTATTATAACTGCTGAGCGGATTTCTGTTTAACTTTTATATGTTATCATTATTATTTAATACTATTCTAGTGATTGTTGAATGTTACTTTTTTGATATAAGTTACCTATTTTAAAGTTATGTTTTATTATCACATTTTTGTATTGCATTAGATTGTTATAAGATGTACATTTTTTGTTTCTTCAGCTTGTAAACCGCCTTAAGTATCGTAAGATAGAAAGACGGTATACAAATTAAAAATGATGAAATGATGATGATGATCAATAGGCAATGGCTTTCCAGCATGACAAAAAGGAGCTGTTTCAGTCCTACCTGGAGATCCCAGGGAAGCAGTTTGGAAATTTCTGCATGCATCTCTGAACACTGATACTTTGCTATTTAGGGGCTTGAGAAGGCCATTCCCTTTCTTTCTTTCTTTCTTTCTTTTTTTCCTCCCTCCCACTTCCAACTGACACCCTCAACTTACTGGGTCTCAACTGTCCTCAACATTCAACAGGCTATGTAAGTTCACAGGTTCTTGTGGGGTTGTTTTGATTTTGTTTAACTTTAAAAAAAACACATAAACAAACTGATATACTTCTTTGAACGTAGGGAATTTCCAAGTATACAGGAGCTACTAGCTTATTTTTCAAATTGCCTTATTTTGCTTCTAGCCTGATAGGCAAAAGATCACACAAGTGCGGTGCTAGAGGGATGGAGGCTGCCCTGTGGGAATCTGTCCCTAAGGTTAGTGTATACAAAGCAACCTGCTGTCCAGAAACAGTCTAAACTCATCATCTCTCACAGTAGGACTTGCAAATATCAACGTATTTGGAAGCTAAATCTTGCTTAATGAGAATGAGAAACTCCTTTGTTTCTAAAAAGGCAAGGTGATATACATAAAACAAAGCATCAATAGTTGCTCACCGTAAGTGCAAATCATCTTACTGGCCTCTCTGAAGAGGAGAATTCCATTAGGAGAAGACACATCAAAATTTAAACGCTGTGATCTGGGGGGAAAGTAGCAACATCGCTTCAAATAACCCAATAAAACAAACATTAATCATACATGCTATAACAGTGAACTCAGGTACTGAGTTATGGTGGTCAAACAGCTAAATCAGGGGTGCTGAGAAACCAGAGGGAGGTATGCTCAGGAGAACCCCCAAGACTTGCCGAAGTAGGAAAGAAAACACAGAGAGACTTAGTGGGGAGATGTACCCCAAAACAGTCCAATGGGGACTGAGCATGTTAAGTAGCCACAGAAAACTGTTTTTTTAATTTTTAATTTAAGAATTTAACTGCTTATTGCATGGATTTTCTGTAAGCAGGAACAACTGACGCATCTGAATCAAAATGCAAAGAAGACAGTTGTGAAGAGAAGAGGAAGGAACTAATACATAGTGCTAATTAAACACAGTGGCCATTTTAATAGAAAAACATTTTTTATAAGTTGGAAACCCCTGAAGCTTTCTGTTGCTTTGGTGGGCCAGACATTTTAATGTTACTGAAGTATATGTTCTTGTTTAAATATATAAAAGTATTTTTTTAAAAAAACAAAAAACCCAAAAAACAGCACTTTGAATTCAGTATTTGAATTCTACACCAGCTGCAGTTTTCAATGTGACTTCCAAGGCAGCCTCGTGTATAACACATTGCAGTAACCTAACCTAGAGGTTACCAGAACATATAGGCAACTGAAGCTGGGTTATTCCTGTCCAGCTTTTCTTCTTTCAAATTTGGGGTTGTAGGAAGAAAGAAATGCTCTGTTATGAACCTGTCTCTAGCCCAGTAAAATGCTGCTTTAGATGTGTGGTAAGTAATCCTCTCAGGGGTCAACATTTCAGAACCAGGTGCAGATGTTCTCCAGAAATGTTAAACCACTACCAATATCATTTACTACTGGCTCAGAGAAAGGTCTGAAATGAAGAAAACTGTTAAGGGGAGCACAATTACTCTTGCCTCATATTCTGTTGTGAGTCAGGTAAGTATAACTCTCCTCAGTGATTTTCACAAGAGGATCTACCACAACACCCCACTCCTTTAAGTGAAAGGTGCATATTCACTACATTCTCCTGTATGGAATCAAAGGATTAGTTTCAAAATATGTGGAAAGCCATTATGAAGGTGCTGAGGTGGAAATAGATTTATCTCACAGGCTCTGAGAAGGATGAAGCATGATCCCATGCTTCCTTCTACACATGTTGCGGATATTTCTTCTTGTTCCATATGAGTGACATCTTTTAGGTATTTATTGGTGGTTTAAATTGTTGTTATAGTTATTTTTTCATTTATTGCATCTACTGAACTTTTGTAAATAGCGTCAGTGCTATTTTTGTGAAATGCTAGATTAAATTAAATTAAGTAATAATTAAAATAATGAAGGAATGGAGCAAAATGTTCCATTCATTTGTATAGACATAGCAAAGCTTTGTGGATACCAGAGAGACCTATCAGATTTTCAGTTCTCTACAAGGAGTTGCAATTTTGTATGGCACCGAAATGCTTTACAAAATGTGTGTATTACATACACTGTAGAAAATGGTAACATCTGGCAGATGGAAGAAACTGAAGCAAACCCTCATCCTATCATAATGCACAATTTGATACCCTGTAACATATTTTCACCATGTCAAAGTGTATTGTATTATGCATTTTAACCTGTAAAACCTAATTCAATACACAACTCCAGAAAAAGCAAACCCATCCCTGATGATGTTCTCTAAAGGGAACAATACAGGCTTTCTGCATACCAATAGGTAGATGAATACCATGAATATGCAAAATAGTTCAATGAGTTTCCTCCTTTGAAGATTTAATCTACTAGCACCTCTTTGCATTGTCAGTATTTGTAAACATGTCGCCAAAAACTTTCTCCTCTAATGTCTCAGCATTACTAATTTTAGAGACGTGTGATATAGATAAATGGATGTTAAGATTGTCCAACTCTTAGCCTAGCCCACCTCACAAGGCTGTTGTGAAGGTAAAAGGGGAAAGGGGAAGACAATGGACACAGCCCTGAGCTCCTGGATGAAAGATCAAGCTCCAAATATAGAACAAGCAACAAATTTGTGCAGTTTCACAACTCTCAGCAAAACATATGCATACAAAACATTTTGCAGAAATTGATAAACATATGTTTGTGTTATAGTATAGTCCATAGGAATATTAACTTGTTACAGCTGTAAGGTGTTTAATTATTATTTGGTTGTATTTGTTGATTCATTTTGTAGTTTATATTTTGTATCATCGTAATCATTATTACATTACATGCCCTTTACCAACAGGTCCCGGGGCAGGTTACAACACTTTAAAATTAAGTGTTAATAACAGTTAAAAACAGTTCATAGCCATAGGAATTGGGTGGGTCCTAAAAACACACACAGCCCAGGCCAGGGTAATGATGTTTACAGTATATTAAATGCAGTATATATAAATAGCAGCCCAGTGATGACAAGCAAACTAGAAGTGGTTGCATGAGCCAACCATCTATGATTTTCTCTGTACAAGTGGCACATCACTTGGGGAGTGAAATGATGCGGACACAAATTAAGTGCTTTAAGAAACATTCCCCAGTATCCTCCTCCATCCTACTTGAGGTGGTCCCCCCCCCCATAATGGAAGGGGGGCCCTTCTAAGTCTCAGGTGGGGGTTGTCAACATCCCTTCCTCTGGTTGCTTAGCATTAAGCGTCCTTAGCAATGGTGCTGCTTGCTGAGTACAAAAGCTGAGTTTTGTACTCGAATGTCCAACTGACTTGCTCTTTCTTTCTAAAAAATGAAAACTAAATGTCTGGGGGCCCGGCTGGCCCTCAAATCCTACCCCTTCTACCTATTTGTTAGCAGTCCTGACAATGATCAACTTGTAGAGCAGAGGTCGGCAACCTAAGGCCTGGGGGCTGGATATGGCCCGTGGGGGTCGCTTAACCGTCCCCCGGGCCGCCCCCGAACGCTGCTGCCCATTCAGCAAGTCCCCGTGCACTGCACTAAACCAGCACAGCGCGGCTCGGGGACTCACTTCTGCAGCGCTGGCGGGGCTTCCTATAGGCTGAGGGAAGCTCCTGCAACCAATAGGAAGCTGCAGGCACCTCCTCCACGCTGAAAATAGCGTCCGCGCATGCGCACGCACACGCCTCCTCCGCACCGGAACAGCCCGCGGAGAGATCTCCGGGGGAGTGAAGCGGTTCAGGCTGCTTAAGCCTTGCCGGCCCCTGTTGCAGAGCAATCCCATGCATATTTATTCAGAAGCAAGTCCCACTGTGTTCAATGAGGCTGATTCTCAAGTCAGTGTGCACAGGACCCAGTCTGAGTAAGTCCCATTGAACTTAATGGGATTCACCGCTGAGCAAAATATTCACAGGACTGTATTGTGCTGGAGGAGACTCTTGAGAGTTCCATGGACTGCAAGAAGATCAAACCTATCCATTCTTATGGAAATCAGCCCTGAGTGCTCACTGGAAGGACAGATCCTGAAGCTGAGGCTCCAATACTTTGGCCACCTCATGAGAAGAGAAGACTCCCTGGAAAAGACCCTGATGTTGGGAAATATGGAGGGCACAAGGAGAAGGGGACGACAGAGGACGAGATGGTTGGACAGTGTTCTCGAAGCTACCAGCATGAGTTTGACCAAACTGCAGGAGGCAGTGGAAGACAGGAGTGCCTGGCGTGCTCTGGTCCATGGGGTCACGAAGAGTCGGACACGACTAAATGACTAAACAACAACAACAACAACAACAACATTACACAAGAACTTCAAGGACTGCAATTGTTTGTGTGAACATGGCCTTAAGGTGTGACCTTTCAACATCAACTTTTGGAGAAAGACCCCAGAGGAATCTCAAGATGGGATTTTCACAAATGCAAAATAAAGTTTGTTTTGAAGGAATTCCAAAGCATGGCAATGGTAGTTGTATATTCCAAGTCTGAAAACATACTACAATCTCTAAAGGGAACTATCAGGACAGTTGAGCAAGCCTATGATTAATTCTACCTGTTTTGCATCATCTCAGCCATGAGCTTCAAAATAGGAGTAGTACATGCTGGTTCGCGATACCACAGCTCAATAGCTCTTTGAAGAATAGGGAGATATGATGGGTATCTTTCATAATGTAAGTTAAAGATAAAATTCTTAATAAAAGATGCTCATCACACACAGCTTCATTTCAAAACTTACTTTTAAAAACATGACTAAGGTTTGAGGTCTATTCTTTAGCTGCTATAAATTATCTCTGAAACGAAGCCAAATTGCTTCAAAAGACAATCTTAATGTGCACTAACTGAAGATTTTGTTTTGTAGTCATATCAATCACTAGAGAATCAAAGATCTTGCTGACGGGTCCAACCTCTGGCAGCCCAAGAGCAGCAGAGGCAAATTTAATGAAAGAATCAACCATGCTAAAGTTAGAGGAAGAATAGTTTAAGAACAGACAACACTAATAAAAAACCCCTATGTAGCTACAAAGGAAGAAAAACAAGGATATCAATCAATATATCAATGCTCCTAGTCCTAAATGGAAAGCCATCAGAGCAAAATGCTCTGATAACTTCCGCTGTAAAAACTCTGCAAATATCCTGATATGGCTAGCCAGCTCAATCAAAACTGAGGAGCTCTAGCAGTAGGTATTTGGAGATAAACTTTAGGTGATGGAAACCCAAAGGAAGAATGGCTTCTGGCAACCTTGATTTCATGGATGCTTAGTACAGTGACAGAAGGAACTTCATAGACAGTTCATTCAACTTTTTTTAATCTCTACTTTCCTTCATTGATAACTTGGATGTTCTGTGTTCTTAGCAAAAACAAATAATTTTAAATGGAGTTTCTGAACATTCAGTAGATACTAGATTGCTGCAATATCTCCTGTTTTAGGAAGGGTCCTGACTTTGGCAGCTGAGCCAGTCTACTTGATTCTGCCCTGGTGACTCTCTTCTTAGGCAAACAGGAGGTTGCCTCCTTCTTCAGGGATTTTGAGCACAGGCTCCCTGTCTGGTGATGTAGGCTTTTGTGGCAACGCTGTTGGTCATAATGTGAATGTAGTAACCTGTCAACTTGGAAGCCAAATGTGATGGGCCTGGGTGCACTTGAAGACTTCTGGCAATGGGATGTCCATTGGTCAGAGTGGCACCTGTTGTGACTGTTATTCTAAAAAGATTGCTCCTTTGGGCAGCCTCAGCTTAGCTGAGCTGGCAAAACCTACCAAGTGATGGAGCAAAAGATCGCCACCAGAAGCCAAAACCTATGGGTTTGAACCCTTGGAAGTTGGATTTTCAGAAGTAGGGTCTACATGGTCTGGAGGGATGTCTTGCACTTTATAACGTGCCTATGGACAATAATCTCATCTCCCGAAGTCTGGCCAGGAGTTTCGGGCAAGCATTTTGTGGAAGAGGGGGAAACTGAAGTCTTAGGACAAATGGATAATTATGGACAAATTGATAAGACTTGAATTTCCCCTCCTCTACTAAATTTTGATCTGTAGACATCAATATATAACCAATCAAATGTACACTAAAATCAAATTTACTTTAAAAGTTATGCTACACTTCTCAAAGCAGCATCTAACACAAACTCATTCAAATGATTAAAATCAGAATGCAGTCTCATTAACCGAGTTTTCAATAGTCATGTGGTTCTAATATTTACTTATCTCAAGAAACTACACACTTTGATCATGTTATAGGACCTATTTCTTCAGGATTATCACAAAATAGGTCCTATAACATGATCAAAGTGTATAGTTTCTTGAGATTAAGTAAGTGTTAGAACCACATGACTACTGAAAACTATGTTAATGAGAATGCATTCTGATTTTATGCTTAAGGGCACATGGTCTTAGAAAATATTGTTCCTGTATATTCAAAAGTACCCTGTACACCTAATATGCTGTATTGCTGAAAATACAAGGAAAACCAACTTCCAAAATATAACACTTGAATCAGTGACAGTTTGACATATCAATATTTTAAAAGAAATGAATGACTTTCATATTCATGATATTTTTAGTTCCATGCACCTTCCCTCGCAATACTTCAAGAACAACCGATATACCTTACCACCAGAAATGTCTTTAAAATATTTGGAGATATTTTAATAAAGCCTTATGAGAGATCAAATAACAACTTTGTAACAGATTTTTCTATTATTGCACATATTTGCTCTTCATCCTTTGCCCAGAGGGAAAAACTATAAATCTTTTCTCAACTGAATGAACACCATTTATCATATTCATTTTCTTGTCAATACAATTATGAAAAGCCTTTGGCCTTTTTCCAAGGAGCCTGATTTGTTACAGAAACCCAATTAGTATAAGCAAGCCTGCTACAAACAATCCTATTTTACAGGATAATGTTACTATTCTGCTTGCCGGGCTATTCGCTTCTAAACATTACCCAAGAACTGTTATAATATATAAAACACAATAATTCCCAGGTTAAAGACCAAGTCAAAGATGTTATGAATTCTGTTCATCTTTGCCATCTAGTGGACAGAAGTAAAATCAAGAGTGGTTTCCTCAAATCTGAAGAGGCTATCTAAGGGGGTCACCACTAGCAATTTTAAGACCACTTTTGAATCTTTTAAAAATGTTGTTCATCTGAAATGGAAGCAGGGCTCTCTAGAAAATGCATGCATATGACTGATGGTGGCTGCTTCATCTTTTGCTCTCTTCCTTTTATTCTACTTGCTGTTGAATCAATTTGATACAGTTTTAATATTCCTAGGTTTTAATCTGCATACTGCTTGGATTTTTTACATATAGGGAATGAAAAAAATAATAATCCTATTTTTAGAGTGAGGTGTCCTTTTTCTTTCTTTCTAAAAACACCCAAACCACCTTTTAGGCAGGAGAAACACAAAAACAAGTTTAAACATTACTTAAGAAAACCTGCAACTGGAACATCTTAAAATTGCTAAAGCCCTAAAGTGTTTGAGTTGACTTCATATACTATCCACCTGATGATGATGATGGTGATATAATAATAATAATAATAATAATAATAATACCCAGCCCACCTGGCTGGGTTTTCCCGGCCACTCTGGGCTGCTCCCAGCAGAATATTAAAAACACAATAGAGCACCAAACATTACAAAATTCCCTAAACAGGGCTGCCTTCAGATGTCTTCTTAAAGTCAGATAGTTGTTTATTTCCTTGACATCTGATGGGAGGGCATTCCACAGGGCAGGTACCACTACCTAAGGTGGGCAGGTTGTAAAAGTCCGGAAAGGCCCATGGCTTTGTAGGCTTCAGACCCTTAAATCCCCTAAGAATTCAAGTTGCTAAACTTGCTCACCCTGCCCCTTTCAAACCCACAAGTGAGCATCCAACATCTGCAGAAAAAGTAATTCTGGTTTCCCAGCACAGCGTAAGAGAAGACTCAAATAACGGAAATCCTACAGCAGGCATAATGTCACATGAGAGATCTCACAGTTACTTACACAGCAATGACTAAAATATACTAAATACAATTTCTTCAGTGGGTGATGATAAAACGAAATCAGAAAGGAGCCCCGATAGCAGAGGTACATCACACTGTAAATTAAAGGGCTTTAAATTTATCTAAGTATTGCAGGCTAACAATAGAGTAGGAGAATAATTAGGGATTAGTGTGGCACAACCCCCGCTCTGCCAAAAGTGACCTCCTTGTGGTCTCTCTCCAAATGCTGCCCTCTCAGTTAATGGTATGATTGCAACTGTACTGTAATTTTAGCTGATTACGCATTAGTTCATTTAGCTTTGTTTCCTCTTCCCCACTGTGCCACACTATTAAACTAATGCACGGGACCTGGTATCCCTCTGTGCACAGAGCCGGCATTGTCATAGTGTAATAAGGATACATCCAGTCAAACAGCATGGTGTAGCTGGTCTTTGTGTTCAGAGCAAAGGCAATCCCTCGAAGATCTCTCGCCAGTCCGATCAACATACGCTGTCAGTGGGAAAGAGACACAGTAATTGATTTTCACGTTAGCACAGAGCAGATGGAGTCATGATCAGCCAATAATGAGCACAATATCTGATTTTAATTCATTAGCGTAAACGTCTTTCTTTTTTCTTTTAAAAAAACCTAGGGCTTCTAAGTCTCCAACTTAAATATTAATACTAATCAAGTGCTTTTTGCGCAGCAATAAGCTTACCAATAGAAATAATAAAATGAATTCAGCTTGAAATAGGAGATATGAGATCATATAATAAATTAAAGCCCAGAAGACACATGAAACAGAAAGTAACTTCCATTATATTCCCCCTTTCATTTTTCGTTTTTCTCTTTTTAAACTGGGCATGGGGATTCGCACTGATGTCACTTATTCTAACTTGGTTATCCCTCAGAAATAGTCTGAACAACATTTATTTAGCTGTTCAGTTTTATGTTTGAAACAAGAATAGATGCTAAGCATGGGGTATGAATATATATTTCCTTAATTATTATTTAGTATATTCATTAGTGTGTGTGTGTGTGTGTGTGTGTATCTATATATCAACATGCAATTCATTGAAAACATTTATTAGAATAAAATGTTTGTTTTTAAAGATTGGCCCATGCATCCTCTTTATAAAAACAGATTCAACAGCTGCTGAAATTGTTTAAAAGACAATTCCTAAAATAATATGTAGACTTCAAGTGTACATGGCTGTCCTCTCTCTAGGAGAGGAAAGTGGTGCTTTTAGGTAAACAAATAAGCTACGCCATTTTTAGACTCTGCAAAAAATGGGGGTTGACATTGCCATCTGCATATAGTTAGCTCTAAAACGAGAATGTTAATCAGACTGACTCTGAATAGGAATTCTTTGGTCTGAAGGTTAATCAGATGGGTTTATCATAAGAAATATAGTTTGCTGGAATTATTTTTACTGCAAGACAGGGCTAATTTGAGGCATCAATTATATTCAGCCACCCTACTGAATTCGCAACATAGCATCTATAAAGCCTGTATCACCCACGCTGACAACGTATAGACCCAAACTAACAAGGATTAAAAGGAGCAAAGTTCCCCATTTCACCTTCTTTTAACAGAAAACAACTAGAAAAGTTGTGCATTTTTATTTTATATTTTTGGAGAGGTAAAGCTGTAGGGCAGCACGGAAACTTGTGGAGTCCCTGAGATGCCTTGTTAATGGTGCGATTCTACTCAGAAATGTGGGACCCTTCCCTGAATCTCCCCAATTCATCTAGGAATTCGGGGTACACACAGAACCAATGCAGACTCTTAGTAAAGAAGTTATAAATTAGCATGATTTAGTGTCCATTTTTTGCACCACTGTTTATGGAATATATGAAGATGTAATCCATGGGAACCTTGAGTGGAACTGAACATTGGTCTAAGGAACAATTGCTGAAGGGAACAATCTCCCCTTCCGCCGTGTGCTTTTCTGGGGGTTCTCCTGACCCCCCCCCCAGACTTGGAGGAGGCACAGGGGGATGATGGAGATAGCTTGATTGCAGTAGTTGGAGTCCTTACGCTGGTTTTCACTAACAGAACCAGGTAATTGAACCCTGTCTTTTGATTTATAAAGGTAAAGGTAAAGGCACCCCTGACCATTAGGTCCAGTCGCAGACGACTCTGGGGTTGCGGCGCTCATCTCGCTTTATTGGCCGAGGGAGCCGGCGTACAGCTTCCAGGTCATGGGACCAGCATGACTAAGTCGCTTCTGGAGAACCAGAGCAGTGCACGGAAACGCTGTTTACCTTCCCACCGGAGCGGTACCTATTTATCTACTTGCAGTTTGTGCTTTCGAACTGCTAGGTTGGCAGGAGCAGGGACCGAGCAATGGGAGCTCACCCTGTCATGGGGATTCGAACCGCTGACCTTCTGATCGGCAAGCCCTAGGGTCTGTGGTTTAACCCACAGCGCCACCTATGTCCCTCGCCTTTGATTTCTATTTGCCTTTTTCCTTCTTGTGGAAATAGATTTACAGCAAACCACCCTAGTGGGCAGCAATGGTAGGATATCCAGCAATGAGGGCCCAGTATCTGCAATACTCTACGTGGAAACCTGCCCTTCCCCATGATTAGAAAAATAATAACACAAAGCAAAGAAACAAATGTAAATGTGCTTAATCTGCATAATTTATACAGGAAAATCCAGGTTATTTTGTAAAAAATATTTTGTTTGTTTTGAGCCCAGAGCCCAGGGACACATGCAATGGTGTAGGGAGGGCGAATGTGGGTGAGCACAGTGATGGGCCTTTATTCAGAAGTGATAACAACATTTGCTAGGGTCTTGGAGCGCAGAGGGGTATGGCACACCCCATTTTATCCACATAACAATATCCTGTAAGGTAGGCTAGGCTGAGACAGTGAGTAGTCCTAGGTCATCTGTGAACTTCATGGATGATCAGGGACGGGAACCCATGTCTTCAAAGTCATTTCTTTCTCTTTCTCTCCCTCCCCTTGGGGTTTGGCTATGGGGATCCAGCAGTTCAAAATTTAGCACTATACCACTGAACACACGGCCGTTTTGTATTACTTGTGTTTCTATCAACATCACTATGAAGTCCCCTCACTCCCTTGACCTAATTCAGTCCAAAATTCTTTAGATTTCTGACAAAATGCATTGAGCATAAGTAACACAGTCAATATTCTGAATAGGCAACTTGGGAGAATATAACCCACTGAGCTTAGAATCTGGGAAGAGACTTTGTGTGTCAGGAGGGGGAAAGGGCACTTTACAATTATATGGCTTGGACAGGACCAGGTTATGCTACAAATCTCTTTCTGGGACTAGACTTTTCTGGGACTGAGACCTCAGAACGGACCTTGTCACAGAAACTTTTCTATGACCAAGACTACGTTGATGTACTTGCCTGTCATTCAATACAAACAGTGTGACAGTATGAATAATTCCAACTACCCAAGTCATTTCTCAAAATTCTTTTTCTTCTATTAGCTCTTTTACGTATGATTTCCAGATGAAGCTTGCTTCCCCTTATAAATGTTCATCATTTCCAATGGCAAATGTATATAACTTACAGTGGAAAAGTCCACTGTAAGCCATTACATAAAGCAGGCTTCCTCAATCTCGGCTCTCCAGATGTTTTTGGCTTACAACTCCCATGATCCCTAGCTAGCAGGACCAGTGGTCAGGGATGATGGGAATTGTAGTCTCAAAACATCTGGAGGGCTGAGGTTGAGGAAGCCTGACCTAAAGCTACACAGTGTATGGCTACAGAGATCACAGAGATCACAGGTTTGTAGAGTTGGAAGGGTCATCTAGTTCAACTCCCTGCAATGTAGGAATCACACCCAACGAATCCCTGACAGACGACCATCCAGCTTCCATTAAAAAGGAGAGTCTACTGCCTTTGGAGGTTAGTTTAGTCCCTAATGACTCACACCAAAATCCATGCAACAAAGTCAATCTGGGACAGTTCAGAGAAGGTGAAAACAGTCCACCTCTCCTTTCAATGGCTGGTTTAGTCTTCACTGCTAGGGATCCCAACACATTCTGGACTGCGGGAAGCACCAAGATCCTTCCAACCTATTCATCACCCTCAGGTTTCCCTCTGTATATACACACTCTGTACAAAGATTCTGTGATAATAATAGGGGCTAAATAAATTTAAAGTTATGAATAAGTGTGAAAAATACCAATCACATATGATATGAAAGAAAAAGAATGTGAGAACTATGTGTTTCATTGGGTCTTCATTCGTTGTTAAAAACAACGAGCACGGAGAACACACCATACACTGTAAGTCTAAGCGGGAAGAATCATGAATGATATAATTCATGAAGTTCCACTGAGGTCAAGTCTCACTAGCCAGAAGATCCTACTTATTCCAAATGGTAAAAACAAATGCTCAAATTGAACAGATGCCACAAAAATTTATGTGATCACATGCTGACACTAAAAGGATGTTAAGGCCACCAAATTCATTCATTAATTCATTGTAAGACCAATAATCAACTTACTAGTCCATGTTAGGCTCTCAAAGCAGGTGTAGATTCGTTATTTTCAGATTTCAGGAAGATGAATCTATCTAAAAGTATAGATTTAAGGTGGCATGGTCTGAAGAAAAATTCAGAAGAGGCCTCTAACAGTAGTCACATTGCATGATTTATTTTCTTGTTGCCAGATATGTGTGATATTAAGGGAGGTAGAAACAGGAATAAGCAAGTGGTTTTTAAAAATAAAAATAAAAATGCTTATTTGTTTATATCCTCAAAGAACCTCAAAGTGCTTGCATCTAATCTGAGGAACATAAGGTTACTGAAGGATCACAACACATGTACCACTGAGATACATTCATTCCTGGGATGGATAGTAACCACTGTCGAACAATGTAGTTATTACGTGAAGGACTGAATGTGAAAATGTGCAGAGAGAATTTTGGTAGCCAGAACTCAGATGAATAAGCACATTTCCATTTTGAAATCATTACTGCATATCTCATAATTACAAATAAAAGAACAGGATGGATGCTTTAAAAGCCACTTCGCTA